GTAGATCCACAATCAAAACTGTTGGTACCACCAGTCAAAAAATCAAAAGAATGACAATAACCTGGAACAAGAGGTGCACTGCAGAGTAGACTCTGGGAGGGAGAAAAATGTACAATAGTGAAGGAAAATTTAGCTTCTCTGTAAACCTTTGTTAAAATCACAATTTAAAAGAAATCAAAAGATGTATTGCATTGAGAAGATTTACTGTCAAGGACCTCACAAAAAGACTAAAGAACATCAGTTTAATGACTGGTGTGTCTGATCCACACCATGGTATTTTCACTTGCTTCCTATGTATTTGAAAAATGGACGATGACAGATGACAGAAGAACTGATGCCTCTGAATTATGGTTTTGGAAGAGCACTAAGCGTCTTGTGGACTGCCAAAAGAATAAAAGTCTGCCTCAGAGGAAGCAATCTGGATGGGTGTGTCAGAGGCAGTGCGATTGGCACAGGATAGAGCAGGGTTTAGGGCTGTTGTACATAGGGTCACTATGAGTCACAAAGGACTCGACGGCACTTAACAACAAAAGAAGTGCAACCAGGGATATACTTTGGGCATATTATCAAGAGAATTTAGTCCTCAGGAAAAGACAAAAGCGTCTTGAAAAAGTGGAGGGTAAGGGAGAGGAAGATCCTCAACGTGGGGAAGACCCTTAAAAAGATGGTTACAGTGACAATTAACTGTGGGCCTGTGAGGATGGCGCCAAATAGGGCAAGGTTTTCATCTGTTTTTAATAGGGTCACTATGAGTCATATAGTTGACTCCAGGGAACATAACAGCACTCACTCTCTAGGCCTTACTTACCTTAAAGCTCTTCTGAAGGCATTCACTAGTTTCCTTGATTCTACCCTTCCCACACTCTAAAATAAATTTTCATTGCATGTTGTACCTCTTAATGTAACAACTGTCATTATAATGTAAGCCCTAAAAGCAGGAATTGTTTGTGGTGGAAGTAACCATCTCCTAGTGTCTAAGGCAGTATCAGCACATAGCAACCCAACAATGAATGTGAAATTCAAGTCAAACACTACTATAATTTTTTATTTCCCTTTTTGTGCTCAGCTTGATCCAGATTTGCCTACCCTCTCAGGTAGTAGTTTATTAGTTGAAGTAAGCTTTCCAATCTCATTTCTCATAGAACAACTCCACTGGCCCAGGTAGCTGCTAATGTCTGACAAGTTATTAACCTTTAACAGGTTAACCAGAACTTTAAAAAATATTTCAACAGTATAATAGCTTTCCCTATGTTGTGTTGCTAAGTGCTGTCAAGTAGAGCACAACTCAGCAACCCTTTGAACGAAAGACCTGAACCTTGTTTTATGACTTGTCATTTCTCTGAGATCATAGTTTCCAGAGGTATGTTTTTGAGGAAGTGGATGCCACTCCTGCTTCCAAGCCTGTCTTCATCAGGGAGCACCAACCACCCACTGTCCATCATGGGTAACCATTATGGTATTTGACAGACCAGTGACACAGTGTTCAGCATCACAGCAACCCCAATTTACCTCAGTACAGCAAAATGACAGACCAGTGCTATACCACCTTGAGGAATGTTCATCCCATACCCAGCAAATCCAATCAGCTCACACACAATTGTGAATAAAAACCAACCAGTCCACACCTGACTCTCAACTAAAACAAGAAAACTCACCTTCCAGAATCCAACCACTTCACGCATAAGGCTCCAAACTGGAGACTCAGTCATGGCCCAACCAACTTTTAAATACAAAGTCCACTCACCAGGTCCTGAGAGTGTTTATTATCTATCAATTTTTATTCCTTTTTCCATCCCTTGTAACCACCTAAGAATGAGTCAATTTATGTAAACTGTTCTTTAGTTTTTTATAAAGGGCTTATACAGTATTTGTCCCTTTGGAACTTATTTCACTCAGCACAACATCCATGACACATTCATCCATCTTACACCATGTCTCATGAACTGGTTTTCAACACTGCATAATCCTCCACTATGTGAACATACTAGTTTCTTCAGCCATATATGTGTTGATGAACATTTGAGTTCTTTTAATCTCTGCTATTTTGTTTTGTGCTATTGTGAAAAGGGGTGAGCATACATCTGTCCATCTCAAAGCTCTTATTCCTTTAGAATATGTATACTTAGTAGGATTGCTGGATCAAATAGTATTTCTATTTTTAACTTTTAAAGGAAATGCCAAACTACTTTCAATATGGCTGCACCCTTTTACTTTTTGACTAGCATTTGTTTACTGTCATACTGAACTTTGTTATTGTTGCTGGAGAGGATGTCTCATTGTTATTTGATTTGCATTTCTCCAAGAGCTAATGAATATTTTGTCACATGGTCTGTTGGCAATCTAAGTATTTTATATGGTCAAGTGTCTTCAAATCTTGTATAATTGAACTGTTGTCTTTTTCTTGTTAAGACAGTTTTCTATGACTTTAGAGATGAACAATTTGTCTTCTCTACAAGTCATTGCCAAATATCTTTTCATAGTCTGTAGGTTATTTACTATTTTGGAGAAATTTTTTGATGCACATAAAGATTTCATTTTCAGAAGATACTAATAATCTATTTTAGTCTCTGTTGTTATTTTTTTGGTAATACTTGAGAGTTCATTTATGCTATAGAATTGTGTTCCTAAGTTTGTCCCAGTTTTTTCTTTGACAATCTCTATAGTTTTCAGTTTTATGCCAAGTCCATGATGCATCTTGAGTTGTTTTTTTATTATGGTGTGAGTCCTATTTTTCTTCATTTTGACAAACTTTCAAGTACAAATGACTCTAAAACAGGTTAATCCAATGGCAATAGCCTTTTAACAAGGATACAAATTTTAATACACTACTCCAGATTTATTTCCTAATGTCACTTATATTTAACTTTTTTTAGGTTGTTTTACCCAGCTTGAGTGTTATTTTTAGAGCTACAAACTCTTCTCCATGTCTTACTTGTTATTGTTACTTATTACTATGGGACAAATACAGTTTGGGGGTGGGGAGGGAGGAGACCAAACAAACCACTGTGAACATGGTAACAAGGCATTTTTGCATTTTCAAAACATTTTATTATTTAAAAATTATACAAACTGCCTTATTACTCACAATTTAACAAGATAAAAATTCCAAGCAATCTGTATCTCTGAAAGAATTGTCACACACACACACACGCACACAATGTGTTCTACATTTATAGGCTTTGTTGGCAGGGCATTTTGATGGCACCAAAAAATAACCCACAAACATTCTCTATGTCTTTGTTAGAATGTGCAAAGATACAGTAAAAGGGAAGTGTCCCTATGGTGAATTATAAAAAACATTTTTTCTAATTTTAAATATTACTGAAGTTGGATTATAGAATAAATAGTAAATAAACACCTGCATATAATTTTTTTCAAGTAAAAAATTATTCATTTTCTATTTTCATTTTGTGTCAGCCTTCTGAAGTAATTTTGAAAATCAAAAGTCAAAGATTTTCCAGTAAACATGAAACTTCAAAGAACTGCTGTCATTTGGGAAGGGGAGATATAAAAACCAGCAGAATTTAAATAGTGGTTAACTCACAAAGTGTATACAACAATGATAAAAGAGCTGGTATCAAGTCCAGAAATCTCCAAATGAATTCATTATCACATTTAAATTAATAATCTAACCAAAGTTTAGCCAGGTGAGAGATATGTTCATGGAGTTATAAAAAGGAATAGTGTAGAAAGTTCCTTTTTATAGGAACCTTATAAAGGTTCTGCAGAAAAATCATACTATTATTTCATTTAAAGTATATTTAAGTGAATAATTAGAGAATTGTAAACATAAAGGTAATTACCAAATTTCAAAATTTAGTAAAAGGAATTTCTCCGGCATCTTGAAGTAAGAAAAAAACTTCCTTATCACCAATGTCTTGCCTTTTCTGTGTAGCAATGAAGAGATAATACCGTGCAAAACACAGATATAGAAGTCTGCTCTTTTATTACACTTGAAGTAATGATTACTGAGCAGAAGGGTCATAAACACCATAGCTGAGACAGTACTCTCGCTGTACTTGATCACAATGAACACATCTTTTAGCATCTAGAGAAGCAGGGGTGTTCTCTCTCCAACTGACTGTTGTTGCTGAAAGAACTCTTTGATCTGGGCCAATCGGCCATACAGCCTGTCTCTCAATGGGGGGATGTGGTAACTAGGATCCAGAATGTTCGTTACTCTGCGTTCTCTCTCTCTCTTCCATACCTTGTAAGGGTGAGGAGGGAAAAATGGTTGATCTCTTTCTCTTCGAATCTGTAATGTAATTCCACTTACTGCTAGCATTGCCCATACTGCCAGGATGATAAAGTCTGAAAAAATACAACCAAAACCAGTTAACAATGGGTTTTCGGAGGCTATAAATCTCATGGGAAGAGAATGCTCATCTTTCTCTCAAGGAGCAGATGGTAGATCTGAACTGCCTGCCTTTAGGTTGACAGTGCATCTCTCTACCACTGGGCCACTAGACCGCATGTTTTTCCCAAGGGTGTGGGGAAGAAGGCAGCAATCTAGACACATTATCCATCTGTACATCAGGAACATCAGAAGCCACGATGCTTGCCTTTTCCTTGTCTCCCTGGGGAAGAGTCTAACAAAATGGTACAGCTTCCCACCACTGCTGGCTAGGGTCCTGCTTCTGGTATGGAGCAGAGAGAGAAATGTGTGAAGAGAGCCAAGAGATTGTACTGAGCTTTTCAAAACAATGCTTGGCAAAAACATCACCTTGTACTTAAAACTTCAAAGGTGAGATCTCAAGGTCTCTATCATGAACCTCTCTCATCCCATGACGACAGGCTCAGAGTTAATAATGTGAAAGAACTGTCCTAGAAAAAGACCCAAGATTGTTTTGATGCCACATTCTCTTCAATTCTAGGGCAAGCTTTCCATTTTCCACATTTTAACATTTCTGAACTCAACTGTCCAGAAAATCTTTGTGGGAGTCACTTTTTTCTTCAAATCGGTAACTGATAGAATCTTAGAAATGAGGCAGTCTATTCTATAAAAAGTTACAATATCAGACAGTTCTTTTACTCTTTACAGAGTCATTATGAGTTAGAATAAACTCAGGGACAACAGGTTTGGTTTGGTTTTAGAACTGAGAGAATACTACCCTTATTGACTGAAAATCACTTTCAACTTCAAATTATGTTCTTAATCAAAGGCTAGAAAAAAGGAAATAACTAAAATAATCAAATCATGTCATTCTCATCCCTTATTCCTAGTCACACCTATAAAGCATCAAATGCTTTTTCTCACATCTAGAAACTGAGTAGGTAAATTTAAGTAATTCTGGTTTAGGATTTCATAACAAAGTTCAATCAGCAAAGTTTTTAGAACTGTGAACTTCAAATACATACAAATTTAAATTATCTGCCCTCAGACCATAAGGAACTATTAACAAAGGCCTTTCTAAAAATAAAATTTGTATGGTGTGAGTTTTCTCCTCTTGTCAAATTTAACATCTTTCAGTCTGAGTTACCTAGTTCTCTTATGTTAACAAAAGAGGGTGAGTATTCTTATCTGAGCATTACTTCATTTTTGGATTCAGAGACTTACCAGTAGTCTGAAAAGGCACATTTGTAAAAGCTCTGCGGAAATCTGTGTTGAGGGCTCTCTTGAGTACATTCAAAGTGATATAGGAAAGGCTTGTGTACAAGTAACTGTCAATGGCCAAAACCACCGAATAAGAGCCAATGATTCCACAAGTCAGTATGTTCAGCTGTGAAAGAGCGGGAGATTAGAGGTATTATCTCTGGTATAACAGATATCTCTTGTATTTCTGGTATAAGAAGACCAAAAGTATCTTCTCTCATCTTTAGCAAGCATAGAGGATTCACTCAGGCACATAAAAAAGGAACTAAGTCTTGCCGATGAAAGGATTTGTGATGGTGGTGTGTACCATCGAGTCTGAGCTGACCCACAGCTGACCCTCTGGGGGGTTTTCAGAGGCAGTTAAAAGCACAGGAGGAGACTGCCCATCCTTCTCCCACAGAGCAAATGGTGGGATTCAAACCACATTCCTTCAGGATTGCAGCGCAGCTTCTTGTCACCAGAGCTAACTCAGAACAATCAAGATCCATAAACGAAAATCAACTCACTGTCATCACGTCTGCTCCAACTCCTAACAAACCTCCATTCAGGTTGTAAATCTTTACATATGGAAACTGCCTTCTTCTCCCATGGAGCTCTTGTTGAGGGGGATTCAAACCACTGACCTTTCTGATTAGCAGCCTGAAACACTGCTATAGTGAGGTCTTAAAACATACTTTATGAACTCATAGAAACGAAATTATCTTCCTGGTGAAAGAATTTCAAAACTAAAGTCCAAGGAGATGAAGGACCATTCATTCTTCTAGAGACACATGGAAGTAATGATCCATCAGTGCACTGGAGAAAAGTCCTACCTTCTCTCTTTTTAATAGTAAAAACATATTGACAGTGATGACTGCACGATAAATATAAATAGAACTTCTCTTGTTTTCACGGAAACAAGCTTATTTAGAATCAATCTTTTCATACAAATTTTCATGCAACCCTCCCCAGTGAATAAAATACAAATAATGGAGCAGTGAGCAAATTATTAACTCAAGGCCAAGGACAATGCAATAAATCAATCTAACTTTTGATGAAACACTTACTATTCTTAGGCAGCCCATGAAAAATACTGGAAGGACAATAGCTATACAAGAGAAGGTCATCCAAAACACAACATCATCACGAAAAATCTTTAGGTTTCCTGGAGGAGAAAAAAAGAAAAAAAATAGGCTCAGCAAGTTCATTTTTTTCCAACATCTGGATACAGGTATACATCAGAAGTTTAAATAAAACCAGGAAGTACCATTTGGTGGTTGTTTTATGCTGTGGAGATGCTTGTGACTCATAGCAACCCTATGTACAAGAGCCCTAAACCCTGCTCTATCCTGTGCCAACCTTTCTCTGACACACCCATCCCCATTATCCCAGTCACTGAGTTAATCCATCTCATGGAGAATCTTCCTCTCTTGCACTATCCCTCTCTCCCAAACATCATGTTCCTCTCCAAGGACTGATCCCTCCTTGCAACATGTCCAAAGTATGTCAGACAAAGCTTCAGAATCCTTGCCTCCAAGGAACAGCCCAGGATGAACCTGTTTGTTCTCCTAGCTGTCCATGGTATAGTCAACACTCTTCTCCAGCACCACAACTTAAAGGCATCAATTTTCTTTCTATCATCCCTAGTCACTGTTCAGCTCTCTGATGCACACAAACAGAAAAACGGTCTCATTTCCTTTGTTTAACTATCACTGCAATTCTACTTGGAAAGATGAATTGTGTGTATGTTAAGGGAGAAGTGGTGAGAGGGGAAAATTAAGCTGGTAAATATGCCATAATAATGACCAGGAATAGAGAATCAGAAGTGGCATCCACTTCCTAAGTAACATGCCTCCAGAAACTATGAACTTTGATAAATGTCAACAGTTGCAGAGGGTTTTTTTTTGTTTATAGGGTCTCTATGGGTCATGCTCAACTTGAAGCAATCAACAATGGAGTAATTCAAGCTCTGATGGCACAAGGGATAAAGTACATAGCTGATAATTGAAAAGTTGGTGGTTCTAATCCACCAGTCAATATGCAAGACAATGATGTGACAGTCTACTTGCATAAAGCTTTACAGCTTTGGAAATCTAACGGGGCAGTTCTGCTCGGTCCTACTGGGTCTCTTTGAGGCACAAGCAATTGAATAGCAATGAATTTTGCTTTTAAGGCCATCAACTTGTAAAAGGATAATAAACTGTGCTGTATCTTAAAAAAAGTAATTCTGGGGTACAGAAATGAAGGTGTCAGTGGTTTGAGTTTACCAACTGACAATGTGAAAGAAAGGTCTGGCAGTCTACTTCCAACAGATCAGCCATTGAAAACCCTATGAATATCAACAAGGCTCTGAATGACACCATACACCAAGAGACTTAACAGACCTACAACAGTGTAAGCAAAAGCCATCACAACATACATTCTACTCCAATACACTTGGATCATTCTCCAGGATAGAATAGACTTTCAGTTACAAAGCAAATCTGACTAAAGTCACAAAGTATTTTCTCTGACTTCAAAGAAGTAAAGCAAGACATCAGTTACAAAAAAAAACAAAACAAAACCAACCAACCCTGAAAATGCATGAATGGAAATGAAATATCATTCTATTAAACTACTTACAGATGAAGGAGGGGAGAAAAACCAAGAGAAATCACAATTCTTCTTTAGTCAAATGCAAATAAAAACACAACATACAACCATATACAGAATTCAATGAAAGCAGTGCTCAGAGGTGAACCTTAAGCAACAAATGCCTGCACAAAAAAAAGAAAGATCTCAAAATAACAATCTAATTTAACAATTCAAGGAAGTAGAAAGAGCAAACTAAATCTGGACTTACCAAAAGAAAGGAAATAAGATCAAAGGAGAAATGAAACTAAAAATAGAATCCATGAAGCCAAACGTTGGCTCTCTGAAAAGATAAAAATTTATCCATATAAACAAAAGAGAGACATTAGTAACAAATTTTTTTTTAAAAAGGACATTGCTATTGGCCAGTTAGAAACAGAGAATTGATGGAATATTATGAACAACTGTATGGCAAGAAACTGGATAACCCATAAGAGATGGGAAATTCTGAGATGAACATTACTAACCCAAACTAGAATGTCTCAACAGAAAGTGAAGAGAGAGAATCCATGACCAAACCCTCCTAAAGGGGAGCAGGGACCCTTTTAGCTTCACTGGAGAATTCTATCATTTAGAGAAGAATTGACACCAACATTGTTTAAACTTTTCCAAAAGACAGAGAAGATTGCCCCCTAATTGAAGAAAACCACAGGCAGTATTACTTACGAATATAGATATAAAAATTGTCAACAATACTGTCAAACAGACTCCAAGATCATATTAAAAGAGTCACACATCATGAAAAAGTACAAATTATTCCAGGAATGTAGGGATGGTTCAACATTACAGAATCAATCAACACAATTACCTTAGTAGAACAAAGGCAAAGAACCACCCAATCATTTTATGGATGCAGACAAGCATTTGATAAAATTCACAATCTTTTCTTGATGAAAACTAAAAAATATTGGATGGAAGAAAATTCTTCACTATGATTCAGGAGTGGATGAAAAGTGAAGAGACAACATCAATATTTAATGAAAAAAGAACTTACCCTGTGAAATTAGGAACACAATGGTTCTCTCTTTCATCCCTTGTATTCAATATTGTGTCAGAAGTTTTAGCCCAAATAGTAAAATATAACGAGTGTATTCAGATGGGAAAAGGAGGAACTAAAATTTCTATTCACAAGTGACAGGTTCCTATCTATAGAAATTTTTTTTAAAAATTTACAAGAAAACTTCTGAAACAGAAGAAAAAGTCTCATTTCCTAATTTTAAAATGCACTTTATTCATCTAGTACAGGGGATTAGATTAGTAATAGGTATTAGTATAGTAAAGTAAAGGAGAGCTCTGGTAGCCTTGTGGTAAGGAATTATGCTGCCATTCCAAAAACATGCAGTTCAAATCCACCAGCTGCTCAGAGGGAAAAAGATGGGCAATCTCCTCCTGTGTGATTTGCTGCCTCTTAAAACCTGCTGGAAAGTCAGCTATGAGTCAGTTACAAATCAATGGTGTACATCAACATATTAATATATGATTCTGGAGACAGATTCATCATCAATCTGCATTATGCATATGACACAACCCTGCTTGCTGAAACTGAGGAGCTGAAGCACTTGCTGCAGAAGGTCAAGGACTGCAGCCTTCAATATGAATTAAAGCTCAACATCAAGAAAAAATTATTCTCACCACTGGGTCAATTGGCAACAGCATGAGAGATGGTGAACAGATTGAGACTGTTCACAGCTTTAGTCTGCTTGGCTCCACAATCAACACTCTTAGCACCAGCATCAGGGAAATTAAAAGACATACTGTGATGGAAAAGTCTGCTGTCAGAGACCTCTCCAAAGTACTGGAGACCAATGATGTAAGTATGGAGACTAAGGTGTGCCTGCTACAGGCCATGGTCTTTACAATCACTTGCTATGCATCAAAGAGCTGGACAATGACTAGGGATGATAGAGAGAGAATTGGTGCCTTTGAACTGTGTTACTGGATAAGAATATTGACTATACCAAGGCCTGCTAAGAGAACGAACAGGTATGGCCTGGAGAGGGTAAAGCCAGGCTGCTCCTTAGAGGCAAGGATTCTGACACTTCGTCTGACATACTTTGCACATGTTGCAAGGAGGGACGAATCCTTGAAAAGGGACATCATGCTTGGGAGGATGGAAGGACAGCGCAGGAGAGGAAGACCATCTATGAGGTGAAATGATTCAGAGACTGGGGTAATGGTGGTGGGTGTGTCAGAGACAGTGAGATTGGCACAGGATAGAGCAGGGTTTAGGGTTGTTGTACACAGGGTCACTAAGAGTCACAGGCAACTTGACGGCACATAACAACAACAATATAAGGAGCTCCGATGGCCCAGGACACAGGGAGTTGTGCTGTTATCCCAAAAGTCACATGTCTGTGGCAGTTCAGACCCATCAGCAGGTCCAAGAGAGAGAAAGATGGGCAATCTCCTTCCTGTGTAATTTACAGCCTCAGAAACCTAATGATGGGTCAGCTGTGAGTTAGTTCTGACTCAAAGGTAATGAGTTTTGTTTGAAAAACGATACAGCTTACAGCCTGATACTGGTATAGCAATAAACATACAGACTGATGGAATACAATAATGAATAGAATTGAGAATTCAAAAATAAATACACATATTTATGGTCCATTAAGGTTGGTTTTTTTTTAGCAAGGATACTAAGTTCATTTGTTGGGAATAAGAGTCACTTCAATAAATAATGCTAGGAAGACTATATTCCTACATGTGGAAAAATGAAAAAGGTTCCATGCTACCCATTATATTAATTAAAAATGGACTGAGGATGCTGAGTGAACTAACTCAGTCCCAGAGGGACAAATGTTGTATATAACTATTATTGTAGAATGAATATGAAGATCCAAGGGGGGGGAATAAGAGGGGTGAGGCTGGGCAGGGGCAGGCGGGTGTCAATCACAGGGTTGCACAATTCAATGGAGGGTGTGAAAGAAATGGGAAGGATCTTTTGTGAAATGCAATGTATTCAAACTCTGTAAATAAATCAGTATAAAATTAAAAAAATACTTGGTGAAGAAAAAATGCTTAGAGGAACAAGCAGGGGTAACACTGTAAGGACTGTTACGTGTCACGGAGTCAGAACCAACTCATAGCTGACCCTTCAGTGGCTTCAGAAACTGTAAATCACATGGGAGGAGACTGCTTTGCTCCCATGGAGATTACAATCAAACAATGCCCGAAAAATGAGCAGAAAATTGCAGGGGTGGAGATTGCCAATCTTTCTCCCAAGAAGCCACTAGTGGAGTCCAGCTTTAGGCCTTTAGGTTAGCAGTGCAACTTTGTAAGAAGTTAGCCATCAGAGCTCTCTTTACAACAAAGGACTATCTAATATAGTAACCAATGAACAGACAGCCAATGTAGAAAAGGGATCTCATAAAAATTTAACATTTTTGTTCATAATATGTACCCCCAAAAGTGAAAAGACAAGCTACCAATGGTGAGATTATCTTCAAAACCACATATCCCAGGAATCTAATAACCAAAATACATATTAAAGTTCCACAATTTAAAAACAAAAAGACTACGAATCCCTTGAGGGATCATTAGGGCTTACATATACAGTTTCAAGGGAAAACTGGCATAACACAGCCCACAAAGACAATCTAACATACTATTTTGTTGAGAACCACCTGAAGTCTGAAAACCTTGTGAGTGGTCATCTAAGAAGCAACTATTCATCTCTCCCTGCCCAGAGCACAGAAGAATGAAGAAAATAAAAGATTTAAGGAAATCTGAGTTGTAGTTCTGGAGAAGAATACTGAATATACCATGGACTTCTAAGAGAACAAACAGATTTGTCTCAAAAAGGGTGAAACCATGTGTTCCTTAGAAGCAAGGATTCTGAAGCTCCATCCGACATACTTTGGGCTTGCTGAAAGGAGGGACAAGTCATTGGAGAGGGATATTATGCTTGGAACGGTGGAGAGACAGAGCAAGAGAGGAAGACCCTCTATGACATGGATTGGCTCGGTGACTAGGGTAATAAGGGTAGGTGAGTCAGAGACAGTGAGGTTGTCTCAGGATAAGAGCAGGGTTCAGAGATTACTACACAGGGTAGCTATGAGTTGCAATTGACTCAATGGCACATAACACCCCTGTTGTAATTATAATCTGTGTATGTCTAGGACTTGCTGACATAGATTGCTGGCACAAAGGTGATCAATAAATGTTTGATATTTTAAGGAAAAAAGATTTAAAGAAGCCATTAGTCCAGGGATTTAAAGAAGCAATTAGTCCAGGGGAACAAAGGACCATACAAACCACAGCCTCCAGTATTTAGGAACTAGAAGAGAGTGCCCTGTTACCACTGCTGTCCACTCTCAATGGAAGCATAGTCCAAAGTCTTGGACAAAGCAGGAGAAAAATGTAAAACAAATTTCAAAATTAAAACAAAGACTAGACTTATTGGTTTGATAGAGACTAATGGAATCCCTTTTGACACTCTTTAACTCAAACAGAACCCACCTCTAGGGATCACCTTTGTACATCTACTCTGACATATGTGAAATTGGTAGCTGGTTTGGTTTTGTTTATATTTTCTGACTAGTTCACACTCACCCACTTACTAGCTCTGTGATCCTAGGCTTTGAGTTCCTAAACCCATACAAGGAGAATACTGAATTGCAACAATTCCACATTCTAAATCATTCCTTTTAAAAAAAAAAAAGAAAGCTCTTAATTTCTGATTCCGTGACTCTGCAAAGTACAAGTCAATGTCATCTGGAGTTAAGCTATGCACTCAGCCAAAATAATAAGTCTCTTTAATGGATTTTTTTTTCTTTTCTTTAATGGACTTTTACAATCAGACTGTTTCCTGCCAAACCACAGCACCCTGACGAGGCACAGTTTCCCCAACATCAGGAAAGGCAGGAGTGGACCACTCATCTACTAAGCCACTCTCCCGCTGCTGGACTTCAAAATGCAGCATACCTCAGAGTGACCCAGGTTGCGTGGATCAGAACTCCTGCTCACCAATTTAAGTGTTTAAAAACAAGAATGTAAGTCTAGTGTTTAACACTGACAGAATGCCCTATTGTTCAGTCTGTTGGTCTCAAGACCCATGTCTTGGGCCTTGGGCAGTTCTTTGTAGGCTCTTGGGCAGAGATATCCGCAGTGAGAGGATGGGGGCTCAGGGCCACACGTGCATTCTCTGAAAGGGAGCCGCAATGTACAGCCAAAAGACAGATTACAGATCATATTCTCCAGTGTAACTATTCCAACTTTCACAAAACACACATGTGGAAAAAAATATAAATTAAAAAACCCACCCACATGGGACTTAAAAGTATTTCAAGACAGGAATGGTGTCCACTTCCTAAAAAACATGCCTTTGGAAACTCTATGAACTTTGAGAAATGATAATAGTTCCAGAAAGGCTTCAGGTCTTTTGTTCATAGGGTTGCTATGAGTCATTCTCAACTTGAAGGCAATCAACAACAACAAAAATGGACTAAAAATAGTAACGATGAAGGTACATGCAAATGAGCTGACCTTTTGAAATATAAGCTCTTTGCTATCCACATTTTAAGGTGAAAACAGTAAAAATATAAACAGATCTGAAAAGTCAAACAAATAGTTTTTAAATTTTAAGGTTTAAGAATAGTTATCTGTGGCCACTATCTCTGAGGTAACCCCTAATCCTAACTGTCCCTGACCTACATAAAAGTTTATGAGAAACACAGAAAGGGCATGTGTTAAAAATTACTTTTACTCACAGAAGTTGTTATTATTGTGTACTATTCAGACAGAACCAACTCTTAATTTGACCCTTCAGCAAGATTTCAAAGACAGTAAATCACACAGGAGAAGATGCCCATCTTTCTCCTGAGAAGTAGTTGGTGGATTCAAACCATCTGCCTTTTGTTTGGCAGCACAACTCTTTACCACTAAACCATGAGAGCTCCTGATAACTAGAGAAGTAATTCATTTGAAAAATTTAGGGACAACTACTAGTTATTTTTATCAAGAGGAAAAAGTAGGGGCCTTTTTCTTTATCTCATTTACTCCTCCTTCTCTTAGTTAATTCTGATTTCTATTTTAGAGATGAGGAAACATAGGCACCATATGAGCTTCAATAATTGTGCAAAGTTAATAACTTAGAGTAATAGTAACAGTGATAGAGACAGTATATAAGCAAAGGGTTGCTTTTATTTGCCTGACTTCCTAATTTATACTCACTCCACTTATCCAAAGCACATTAAATATTTAAGATCCTAATTTATCACTCTTCCATCCTCCAAACATTAAGATGTGGGACGAGCCTAGTATGTAGTACTTGAGATCTTAGAGATTTAGGGGAGGAGTCCTGGAGGTGTAGTAAGTGTTGGACTGTGAACTGAAAGGTTGTGGGTTCAAAACAACCAGCCTTTCTGAAAGTGAGGTCATCTCCACCTGTTAAAATGTGTCAGTTAAAAAACCCAATGGAGGGTGTGTCACAATGAGTTGGAATCGACTCAACGTTAAGTAGGTAATGAAGGCAGAGCTTTAGGGCAGGGCCCTGAATGAATTTTTAACAAACATGCAGGAAATAGTCCTCAAACACTGCAGATGAATCTAGGCTTTATTCTGTTGATGGTTTAGACTTACTATTTTCTACTTTTGTTTTGTGAATTCTCAGAATTCCAAATGCCTCAGATTAAGGAGGAAAAAGGAGTGTAAAGTGGTTGTTTTTCTAAGCATGAAAAGTTTTCATTGGAACATTTAAATCAATATTTGGATTTTACAAATGAATATTTAAAGTAAGTTAAAGATCAAGACAATAGTTTGCCATCTGGGAATTGGTTAGAAGTGTATACTCTTAAGTAAATCCTTTTATAATAAAATTGTTGTTTCATAATGAAAAAAAAAAAAATAGTACTACTCCACATCAGACTGTCTTCTCTTTAATAACGAAGCATGTACCACAGGAATGAAGCCACTGAAGAGTAGCACACTGCTGAATGCATTGTCCCTTTTTTGCAGTTTAGAAATCTAAGTTGTACAACAGCAAAAAAAGTTAATTTACAACTTAACTAGGTTTTTAAAGAACAGTTCTGCTACTTAATATTCTATTATCGTCATTACCATCAGATTTCAACTCATGCAGACACATGTATGTCAGAGGAAAATGGCTACCTGGGGTTTTCAAGGCTATGACCTTTGTGAAGCAGATCTAGGCCTTTATTTCAAGATGCCTCTGGGTAGACTCAATCTGCACATTAGCTGTTGCCACCCAACAATTCTATTTGATGATGATGTTGTTGTTGTTACATGCTCTATGTAGAGCAGCTCTGAACCCTTCCCTGTCCTGAGCCAGTCTCACTGATTTTGACACACCAACCCCATTACCCCAGTTATCCTATCAATCCATCTCATGCAGGGTCTTCCTCTCCCGCTGGACAGCACAAATAAAATTTCTCAAGCAATGAATTGAAAACACAATTCATTACAGATCCCTACCCAGTGGAGTGAAGAACAACACGGATGAGGTAAGGAACCCCAGCACTAGTCCAACACACAGCATGCAGAACAGGAGGATTCCAAATCGCCACCATGTAGCAACCAAGAAAATTCCACCAATGCTTCCAGTCAGGGCAGTTAGAATCAGACGAACTGTACAAAGAGAGAAGACGAATGGCTCGATCACTAGTCATACTTCCAACCTCAGACTTACACACATACCACTGGCAGAGCTGGATCAAGCCCTTCTGCTGGTTCAGGCTTCACACACTCCGTAGAAGTTTCATGACACAGCAGACACCTGCTCAGGCCTGCTTGAGATGTGGACACTAGAGAGAAGTCAAGCCTTACAGGGATGATGACTTACACGATGCTACCTGGAAATTAGAGCTGGGAAAAAAGTGACCAGGATAATGCTGAATATGTTAAGGAGGTGTTTTGTTTTGTTTTTAGGTATGAAGAGGTATGGTTATTAAACTTGATGACATCTATAAAACAATATAAAAATTGAAGGAATATATAAATAGACAATACATTAAAGAGGCTAGATGAATACTTTGTTGATTAAAAACAGAACTTGTACCATTTTTTGAAGCATCCTATTAAAGTTTTTGATGCCTGAGGTCTGAATTTTGTCAATGACACTATATACACATCTTGGTCAATTTCTTAGTAATTTAGTGACTAAATGTACAAGATTTCACATAGCTGGTTCTTGGGTTTTTTACAATGTCTTTCTTTGGATCTTCCTTCAACAACTTTTCTTTCCAATGAGTTGAGTTCCTATTGTGATCGCTTGTGCTAATTCTATCATAACATTTATCACACTGTGTGTTAATGAGTCTGAATAAATAGTTACATAAATATATTCAGAGTCTACATGGGCCTTTATTTGGACATATGAGATGCTGCAGAAAGACCATTTAAACTACAGAAGGAAAGGTGGTGTGTAAACAATAATTTCCTATTTTTTTTTCATTTCCTATTCGACGGCACATAACAACACCAACAACATCTGAATACTTAATTCCACTATATAGTTTTGACTTACCATCATACTTAATAGAAGTCAGTCTTGTAATAAGTATATAGAAGAAGAATCCCATGACGATGAACCCTATGAAGAATAATTCTAGCAGCAAACCACCAGGAAAGAAAAATGAAAGTTACAGTTAGGTACTCTTTTCCCAGTGCAATGTAAATATTAATCTACAAATGTAAGTTTAAACTCCCAGAATTTACGTATCAATACATTCAGAGAAGAAAAACTGTCTAAGCGACAGGAGAATTTTAGACATTACTGGAGGCAAATATTACTAAACATATGTTGTTACGCGCTGTCAAGTCACTTGTGACACAGAGACTTTATGCACAATAGTCCTGAAACCTGCTCTATCCTGTGCCAATCTTATACTAAACTGATACAATATTAACTATAGCATACACTTAAAAATTTAAGTCCATTTCAATTACTAAATTGCTATTTGCTCATTTCATAGTTCATTTAAATATATCTATATTCCTTACTTTAAATAAATAGTACTTTTGTCACTAACATTTGCTTTGAAATGACACTAAACTTCAACAGTTATTGAAGCAAAACTAAAATGTGAAAGTTAAAAAAGATATAGCAAGACATTCCAAAGCAAGATGTCTGCTAGTACTTCAATTCTTTGTTATCACATAATTTTATTTTATTCTTTTGTGTGTGTGTACCATCAAATCAGATCCGACTGGTACTGGAAGAGATTGCCCCTCCTTCTCCAGCAGAGCATCTGGTATATGTTATCACATAATTTTATATTTAAAGGAATTAAAGTTTCATAATACCTTGTACCAAATTAGTCAAAAAGAGAGTATAGGGATGGAGAGAAAACACTCAGTTGCTATCCAGTTGAGATTAACTGACAGAGATCCCCAAGTCTGTCAGAACAGAATTCTGCTCCATTAGGTTTCAAATGGTGTATTTTTAAGAAGCGCATCATCAGACCTATTTTCTAAAGTGTCTCTGAGTGAACTCATAAACCATCAAACCAACTAGTGGTCAAGTTCAGTAACTGTTTTCACTACTCAAGACTCACTAATAGAGGGAAGAGTTGCTATTTCAAACAACTTATAAATGTAAATTTCAAGTATTTCACTAGTGCAGGATTATGTTCTTTGGCCTTGATGCTCAGTCACCAAACTATTGATTAATTAAAAGAAGATTCCTTTTTTAAGTCATTGAAAACACAAGTTACCTAAAAAGCAAGCCAAAGACTTTAGCCCAACTCAAGGAGCATCATTTCTACTGCTGTGTTCACTGGTATGAACTCTGTAGTTGCAGTTTGGTATATGCATCTATCAAGGATGAGTCAGACAGGCTAATCTTGCAGAATATCTTAACTGCACAGCCTGATGTCTCAGAAATCAAGTCATCACCAAAACCAATCTATATTTCTATTAAGCCATCCTGACTTCTAATCTGGCAGTCACGCATATACAGCTAGATCTAGCAATTGCTGCACACATCAAATTTATTTCTCTCTGAGTAAGAGGAAGTCTGTACTACCTTAGTAAGAAAACAGATCTTTTAAAAAAGCCCCAAATTCAAAACAAAACTCAAAATATCCCAGCCAAAAACCATATACACATACACACACACACACACAAAACCCAAACACAAAAGGCTGCAGAGCAAATCAGCAAAATCTTTACAAGAAAAATCCAGCCACAAACCTCTGAAGATAGCGAAGTAATTGCTTGCTCTCCTCACAGTCATAACCCTGTTTTGAAAAAAATGTTAAAAAAAAAAGAACACAAGACATATCAATCAGAGCTTTATTAGATGTACCTGTTTTCCAGAATCTGTGTCCAAAGAAACAAATGAAGAGGCCAAGCAGGGCACAAAGGCTGAAGAACACTTTGGAAGAAACTCTTCCTAAAAATAATGAAAATTTAGTGGCTAACATATCAATTGAGAGTTTGTATTTAACTCACGTGCAAAAGCTCCATTAAAAAAAAAAAGGAAATGGACAATGATTTATTCCACACATATTATAAAATTTTCTCTAAATCCGCATCACTGCTAATGAATAGCCACTGTACTTAAGACAATGAGTATCAATGACCATACCTATAACAAAAAGAGAAACTAAACAATACACACTTCCTGATAGAGGTATAACACATTTGTAAGATATAGTCTTGCAGAAAAAGTAGAGGAAGAAGGGGAGGAAGAGGAAGCAAACAAGCAGAGAGAAAGTGAACCTACCTTCAACAATTGTGCTTCTTCAACAAAGAAACTGTCAGGAAAATGAAGGGGGCCAGGGTGACGATGTATCAAGAGAGATTTATGAACCACATCAACTAAAGGCAATGTATGGGCATTATCTGAAACATGCTCCAACCAACTGCAGTCGCTGAGGATTCCCACTGACTGGAAATGTGATGCTACCAAGGGAATATTTTCCTCGAAACTGTGTTAATGGCTCTATGACCATGTTGGAGGTTTGGGGGACACAGCTTATCTTCAAGATATATACACACACACACACACACACACATATATACTGAAATAATAATGAGTGTTTGAGTAAAAGGATAGTGCAACAAGAAAAGAGAGTGGGGAGTCAGAGAACATGATGATGCAAGACAAGTACCATGTGTAAACACTGCCAGGCTGGATTATGAGTATACAGGAACTCATTAAAGTTTTCCATTATAAAAAGCTTAACATGAAGAGTAACAAACTTGCAACAAGTCAAAATAGGTCAAAATGCTAATGATATTAGATACCATTAAGACATATATTTAAATAAGAAAAACAGACAGAACTTGTCAGACTGCTAACCAAAAAGTAAGTATGCCATTCAAACCAAACTGATGTTCCATAGGAGAAAGCTGAGAAGATGAACAGCCGTGAAAATTCCACAGAGGACTGCTGTGAGTCAACTTCAACTCAGCGCAGGGGGTGTGGCTCTGGGTTTTAATATAGACAGACAAATGTCCACTAGGCTTTACTGTACTTCACAGATAATACAAATTGACGGGTGGTGCATAGCAATCTGACATCCAGCAAGTCTATCGGTGCCATTTTTCCAGCAGTATGTGCTTGTTTTCTGTCCTATTTTAGTAATTCTTGGATTATTTCAAACTTTACATAATGCTATTTCACACTTAGAATTTAGTACAGTATAAACATAACTTTCATGACCAAAAAAAAATCCACATCTCTCTCGCTTTTATTACAGTATTTACTGCAGTGGTGGGAACCGGCTCTTCAAAGTATTCCTGTGCCTATTCTGAGAATGAATAGTTCAAAAGAAAGAAGACTCAGCAAAAGATTAAAATTCCAGATTTTACCTATTTCAGACCTGTGGGTGATGACCATTCTAGGATTCAACCTTCACACCCCAACTATGAAATTCTCTAAGATCTTTTGTTCAAATGAAAAGCTGGTAGAGGTCTCTGGCAAGTATAATCACCATAATGGCAAGGACTTCCAATCCAATAAAAACTAACAGAATGGCAGATATACACTCTGACATGTTCACTGCTTTATCTCCAGCAACTACAAAAATAAAAACTCAAAGCACACTGCTGTTGAGTCAGAACAAATTCATGCTGACTTTCTATTGAGTTTCTGATGTTGTAAATCAAATGCGAGAATTGTCATTTTTCTCTCTCAGACTTACTATATAAACTGTTGGGGTGCAGTCTTTGGGCTAGCAACTCCCCACAGACAATGCCATCAGAGCTACCAATCAAATAATGTTGTTTTGAAGTGCCATCAAGTTGAGTACAACTCATAGAGACCCTATGAACAAAAGATCTGAACCCTGTTCTATAACAATCGTCATTGCTCTAATGTTCTTGGAATTTCCAAAGGCCTGTTCCTGCTTCCAAGACTGTCTTAATCTCGGAGCTCCACCAAACACAGTCCACCATAGGTAACCATTATGGCATTTGACAAGTCAGTTTCACAGTGTTCAGCATCAGAGCAACCCCAGGTTAACTCAGTGCAGCACACTGACAGACCAGTTCTGTACCACTTAGGAGAATGTTCTGTAAGTTTATTAATTATAGGCACAAATCTTATAATTTACTGCTATCTCCTGCTCACTAAAATTTTACTTTCCTTTCTACTTCTGCTAAAAAGACAGAGATGTGAAGAGAATTCATGATTCAGCCATAAGAGCAGCGGGAGACCCTTACTCAAAGTAAGCTTTACCCACTTAACACTTTTAATACTTTTATTACTGTTTAACAACAAGGGTTTTTCTTCTTTCACTGAAAAAAAAAAAACCTTAACAAATAAGGGAGTGAGGAACTGCCTCAAACAGTTAATAGCAGAAGGTTAAAAGGAAATCAAATCATTATTATTATTATTATTATTCATATGATACCATATGTAGCATTGTTCTTAAAGACCATGGAATACAGGGCCCCTGTTTGACTCCACAAACTTTTCTGAGGATAAAATATGAACCTCTCAAAGCCATGATTCAAGAACTGTGTAAGTTTCAAAATTATGCCATGGAAGACAGTTATAATTATTTTTAAATTGTTTTATTCTCTCCATACTACTCTTTCTTCAAACTTAATCCCACCTCCTCCAATAAGGCAACTGTAGATTCTTTCCATTTTCTTCCTCTTATAATAGCGATCTTATCTCCCAACTGGATCCAATTTTCAAAGAGCTTTAGTTATATATCAATTGCCCTCTTATATATGCAGCAGAACTTAGCACAGTGTCTTTTACATAATAAATGACTTAAAACAAAACACAAATATCAAAAATGTTTGATGAGACTATACTTTCAGGGATCATTTCTATAGTCTGTTTCTAGAGAAGTTTTTCTGATTGTGCATGGTACCAAAAAGGCTTGATGTAAAAAAGTTTTTAATAAAGAAAGTTCCTTCTGTAGACATGTAAAAAACAAAAAATCTCATAAGCTATTAGCCGTTAAAGGCCACCATTGGCTTAGTTACTAAACAAGGTTCCTCAGGGGAGGAGAGTTTTGCTATCATTACCCCTCAGTATCTGTGCAGTCAACCACAAGAAAACTGGATTGGCCCTAGGTTATCACTGCAGCACATTAAAGCCAGCACCATTCCCCTGAACAAGTGAGTGTATGACTTGCTGAGGACGAAAGATCTTTCCTACCAGTGCCAGTCTGGAGCAGAAAATGCAAGGAAGGCACAACTGTATAATGTAGGGGTCTAAACAGTATTTGCTGAGGGAGTTGTACTCACTTGGCAATGAAAAAGAGACAAAAATAATGTTTAATATTTGTAAATTATCTATTAATTGATATATATCTACAAACCCAAAGGATTCCCCCCCCAAAAAAATTTAAATCCATATACTTACCTAGAGAAGAACAATTACCCTCTGATGCCTCAAAACTACAAGCATATGTGTGAGCAGGAACATAAGCAGTAGAGGTATTTAAAAGTGGGTCCCGGACAATGACATTGTAAATTACACCTTGGCCCCGGAGAGAGGAGAAGTAAATACTTGTCTTATCATCACCTGTTAAGGTAACAACCTGAAGCCAAAAATAATGCATGGTTAGGATATAGATTAGAAGCAGAAAGCTGTATTTTAATTGCACATGATATTAAATTACAATCCTATTTAAAATACACTCAAACCTGTTAAACACTGTTCAAGGACCAGCCCAAAGTTTGTGTGCTTTACTATGAGCAAGCTTTTTGCACAAAGTGCTTCTAGCAGTTTTATGCAGTAGTAAATGTTAAGTAAATGATGCTGTTGTCATTGTTGTGCACTGCAGAGTCAGAAGTGACCCACAGCTGACCCTCTGGAAGGTTTTCAGAGGCAGTTAATCAAACGGGAGGAGACTGTCCATCCTTCTCCCCGGAGCAGCTAGTTTCCTCATACTGCGTGCCTTCAGGATTGCAACACAGCTTCTTGCCACTAGGCCACCAGACTAAGTAAATGACAGATGTGATATATACACTACAGTTAAGAAATGTATAGATGTGATATATACGTTAGGAAAAACATTTTTTTTTTAATTTACCAAATTATAAACATCACAAGGATGTTGCTGTTGTTGTTCTTGTTATGTGCCATCGAGTCGTTTGCGACTCACAGCGACCCTATGTACAACAGCCCTAAACCATGCTCTATCCTGTGCCAATCTCATTGCCTCTGACACACCCATCCCGATTACCCCAGCCACTGAATCAATCTACCTCATAGAGGGTCTTCCTCTCCTGCGCTGTCCCTCTACTCTACCCAGCATGATGTCCCTCTCTAAAGACCTGTCTCTCCTTACAACATGTCCAAAGTATGTCAGATGAAGCCCCAGAATTCTTGCCTCCAAGGAGCAGCCTGGTTTAATCCTCCCTACGATGAATCTGTTTGTTTTCTTGACAGTCCATGGTACATTCAATACTCTTCTCCAGCACCACAGCTCAAAGGCGTCAATTCTCCTTCTATCCTCCCTAGTCATTGTCCAACTCTCTGATGCATAACAAGTGATTGCAAAAACCATGGCCTATATCAGGCGCACCTTAGTCTCCAGAGAGACACCGTTGCTCTTGAGTACTTTAGAGAGGTCCCTAAGCGCAGACTTTCCCATCGCAATACTTTTTTTTATATCCTGGCTACTGGTGCCAAGACTGTTGACCGTGGAGCCGAGCAAACTGAAGCTGTGAACAATCTCAATCTCTTCGCCATCCATCCTGATGCTACCAATTGGTCCAGTGGTGAGAATCTTTGTCTTCTTCACATTGAGCCTCAGTCCATATTGAAGGCTGCAGTCCTTGACCCTCTGCAGTAAGTGCATGAGGTCCTCCTCAGTTTCAGCGAGCAAAGTTGTGTCATCTGCATAACGCAGATTGTGGATAGATCGTCCACCAATCCTAATGCCACGCTTCTCCTCATAGAGCCCAGCCTCTCAGATAATCTGCTCTGCATACAGGTTGAAAAGGTATGGAGATAGGACACATCCCTGGCGTACACCCTTCCCAATTTTGAACCATGCAGTGTTGCCCTGCTCTGTTCCGACGACTGCCTCTTGGTCCAAGTATAGGTTTCGCATTAGCACGATTAAATGTTCTGGGATTCCCATTCTTCTCAGAGTCAGCCACAGTTTGTTATGATCCACGCAATCAAATGCCTTTGCATAATCAATGAAACACAGATAGACATTCTTCTGGTATTCTCTGCTTTCAGCCAAGATCCATCTAACATCAGCAACAATATCCCTAGTACCACGACCCCTTCTAAACCCAGCCTGGACTTCCGGCAGTTCTCTGCTGATGTGCTGTTCTAATTGTTTTTGGATAATCTTCAGTAGAATTTTGCTTGCATGTGAAATCAATGACACTGTTCTGTAGTTTCCACACTCAGTTGGGTCACCTTTCTTTGGAATAGGAACAAATATAGATCTCTTCCAGTCAGTTGGCCAAGTGGTTGTTCTCCAGATTTCTTGGCACAACTTGGTGAGCACATCCAGGGCAACATCTGTTAGCTGAAATATCAAAACTCAACTCACTGCTGTCAAGTAGGAACCTATTTATAGTTGACCCTCCAGCAAGTTTTCATGGGCTATAAATCACACATGAGGAGATGGCCTTTCTCCCAAGAAGTCACTGTTGTATTCAAACCACCAGAGACACATGGCTTTTGGGTTAGCAGTACAATTCCCTGTTTCACTGTTCTTATTCTTGTGTAACCTCCAGTTGGAACTAATGCATAGTTGACCCTCCAGGAAGTTCTCAGAGGCAATAAATCAAATGGGAGGAGAATGCCCATCCTTCTCCTGCGGAACAATTAGTGGATTCAAACCATGTACCTGCTCGCTAGCAGCTCAATTCCTTAGTACTAAGCCACCAAAGCTCCCCACCTAATAGAAAGGAGTCTTATCTTTCTCACCACTCTTTCCTTACCTCTTAGCACAATGCCTGCCACAAAGTGTTCAATAAACATTAGCCATTATATCTAGCTACAGAAATGGCAAAGACAACATTATGTTAACATCTTTATAGAGTATCTACTAATGCTTTCTAACAGGATCTGAAATAATAAAATATTACATATGGTTGGGTTAAATAGTCCTTAAATTCCCATTCAAAGGTTTTCTTCTTAGATGGGTCATACATATAACAGAAGAAACAGATGCCCTAACTTAAGCTATAATTCACAGCTTTGTTTTAATACATTGTTGTTATGTGCCATCGAGTCAGCACTGACACATAGCTGACCCTCCAGCAGGTTTTCACAGGCAGTGAAGTACATGGAAAGAGACTGCCCATCCTTCTCCATGGAGTAGCTGCTTCTTACCACTAGGCCACCAAAGCTCCCTAATGTTAAGCAAAAAAAAAAAGAAAAAAAATCTCAGTTTTAAGAACTATGATTCATCTAGAAGATTTCCATAGTCCAAAAGTATCCTGCTGAAGAACCATTGTGAAGTTATAAAATATGATGGCATTTCATTTCTAAATACATCAGTGTGCAAGTCCTAAAAAGAGTGTTTCTCAAGCTTAATGTGCCTCTGAATTAGTGGGTGATTTTGTTAAAATACACAATCTTCTTTTGAAGTTCATATGTGATACCAGATTCCACTTTGAGAACAAGCTCTCATGAATGCCAACACTATGCACTCATCTATTACATTTTGGGTAACAGGAAAACAAATATAAGGATATTCTCTTATATAACACAATACACCTGGGCTCATATAAGAAAATTAGCAATAATTTTTATTATCGATTTAATTCACGGTTAAGGTTCAAATTTCCCTAAATGCTTTTTACAACTTTTGCAAAGTTCTGAACAGTGAGCCAACTAAGTTTCACACTCGGTTATTTATCGCCAATCTTCTGTTAATCTTGAACAGATTTAATGTCAGCACCCTCTTCCACCCACTTACCTACATTATACTGACTTTATAAAAGAAGCAACTTTTGAAAATATTATGAGGTCTCAGAACATATTCCACAACTGGAATGTGTTAACAAATTGTGTTCACAATGTTTTAAGTTGTTCATTTATCATTTATATTTCCTATGATTAGGAAATCCAACGGCCCTTTAAACAGGCTGCAGTCATTCTGACATGCCTTCACCAGTTTTTCAGGGTCTTCCTGCATTCTGGCACATTTAACTAGCACTTAACTTGCTTTTCACTGGTAAGAAGCTGCACTGCAATCCCAAAAGCACACAGTTTGAATTCACCAGCTCCTCCACAGGAATAGGATGGGTAATCTCTCCTGAGATTTATGGCCTTGGAAAACCTGCTGGAAGGGTCAGCTATGAGTCAGTTCCAAATTCATGGCACACAACAACAACAAAAGGAGTTCTTATATTCTTCATAAAAATACAGTATGTCTGGAAATATTCGTATCTAAAGTGGAAAATGATACACAGCATACCCCAAACGTCTGGGAAACTGCAAAAGCAGTGCTCCTTGGAAAATAAATGGCAATAAATAAACACACCTTTAAAAATTATAACAACTCAAAATTTGCATAAATAGAGAAGGAAGAAGAAAAGGGGTCTACAGTAAAAAAAGCCAGGTGCTACCTGGCTATCACTGCCGACCACTCTGAAAGGAATCACAACAGGTCTTAGGAGAATAGTGTGAGAAAAATGTAGACCAAAATTCAAGGATCATAAATATCTCATTGAGACTAATGGAACCCCTGAGCCTAAATTCTTCTCTGCAGCACAACTTTCAGCCAAACGTTGTTGCTGCTATTATGTGCCGTCAAGTCGCCTGTGACTCACAGTGACACTATGGACAACAGCTCTAAACACTGCCATATCTTGAGCCAGGCTCACTGACTCCAGACACACCTACCCTCACTTCCCCACTTTCAATGTAACAACAAACTGACAGATGTTTGTCATGGATACTTTGTGTACATCAGGAGGGACCAAACCCTGGGAAAAGAGATGCCTGGAAAAGCAAAGGTTTAGCAAAAGAAAGGAAGACCCTCACACAGTGAGTACAGCAATGAGCTTAAAGCACAGAGGACTTCGGTAATGACTCAGGATTGAGCAAGGTTTCATTCTGTTGTCACTACGAGCCATAGCCAACTTCACAGCACCTGAAACAATAGGGAGAGCCTAAGTCTGCAATCCTAGCAGACGATGATTGTGCTCACACTGCAGAGGAACAAGAGTGGGACTTTAAAGCTCAGACACGAAGTGTCTTTTGCATGAAGTTTTTTAAAAAAAGAATAAACCCACAACAAACTCACTCATGGATAACTCATAGCTGACTGTCCAGTGGGTTTTTCGAGGCTATGAACAGCACATGAGGAGAGCGCCCATCTTTTTCTCATGTTAGCAGAGCAGCTGGATTTGAACCACCTGCCTCTGGGTTGGCAGTGTAACTCCCTACCCACTAGGTAACCAGAGCTCCAAGTTGAAGACTCTCAATTTGGGTTCAAATATTTATGCCAATGCATGCAATCCTAAATGGTTTTGATTAGTTTTTCTCAAAACTATTCCTCTCAGGAACAATGATTTTATAAGTTACAGCCTAACTTGGAAGGGACTGGAGAACACTATGCAGAGTGAACTAAGTCCCATAACAACAAATAATGTATAAGCCCATTATCATAGAATGAGTATGAGGATCCAAGGTAGGGGAGGGTGGAGCTGAAGGATGAGGATGGGCGGGGGGTGGTGGTGGAGGGTGTTAAGTATAAGGTTACATAAATTGACGGAGTGGGTGCAGGAAACAGGAAACAGTCAGAAAAAAAAACAATATAAACGAACTAAATAAACAAGAAAAAAAAAAAAAAAAAAAAGGGAAAAAAAAACAAACCTTAAAAAAAACACACAAAAAAGCCCCACACTGTATTATTGAAATTTACTAAAAGCTTTATTTAACACTTAGAGGAACACATAACAAAGTTGAATACACTCTTTTCCAATGATCTCTTAAGAACACCAAAGTACATACATGCTTACAACTAGAACTTAATATAATGCATTCCTTCAATGGCCAACCCCATTTTGGTTATCACTAGCAAAGATCCTCAAGACAATTAAAAAGTAAAATAAAATTATAGTCTCAGAAAGACAAAACCATAAAAGAAACTACAAAGGGCCTTTTCTTACCTTCTCCCATTCTCAACACTTACAAAAGTGTCACAGTCTAACCATTCAGATCATGGGAATCAGATTTACCTTGACAGCATTGGCCTTCACCTGTGGCACCTCAGTCATTCGCTGAAGATGCATCAGCAAAACCTGCTCAGTGAGGTCATTCTCAGGCAGAAAATACTGGTAGATGTCATACTGCAGCCTCCACCTTGAGTCCATGCCTGCTGCCACGTCACAGAGCGGAGGGTCTGTGCCTCTGAAGTCAACCAACAAAACTGCGTATCAACCTTTCATGGTACAAAGCCCATCAATAAAAAGGAGCCAGAGTTCTTAATTTCATACCTTTCCAACAGTCCTTCCCGATTTGACAGCTTACCTTTTGCAGAGGTAATAAACTGGTATTCAGAGAAAGGCAAGTAACATACTGAAGGGTAATGTGACTTACTGATCAGACGTCAGTTTGCCATTTGTTACAAGTATGAATAAGTCACTTAACTTCAATAACCATTAGAAAGCCTCTCTGTTAACAAGAATAATTGTCCTTTTTCCATAAAACTATGAAGATTTAATGGCAAAGAACACCCAGCACTCAGCATCACAGGTGCTGTGTAACCAGTCATTGTCAAGTTGATTCTGACCCATGGTGATGTCAGGTATGTCCCACTACGCTGCAATGGCTGATTTTTCACAAGGAAATCACCATCAGAAGTGCATGACCTTTCTTCTGATGGTCTTATGAGTTGACTCCCACATCTAACCTTCAGTTAGCAGAAAGGACACTCAAATGTTGGCTAACAGTAAAAACTAAAGCTGTTTTTAATTAAAACAATCACACATTTCTATAAAAATACAGAAGTGTGGGGCTTCAGAATGCTTTGTACTTTTAAAATTCTTTTTTTTAATTGATTTTCATACAATAATTTGTTTACATTGTGTTTCATTCATGTACATTGTTTTATACAATCCTTTATTCACCTGTGTTTTGTATAAGCATTCGCACACACTGTATTTTATATAATTACATACTATTGGTCTATGTCTATTGTTACCCCATCTTTTCAAGTTTCCAGTGAATCTTTCCTATTCCTTCTCCACCATCCCCAATCCATCCAACTAATCTCTGTTATGCCCCATAAACAAACAAATGTACTGAGAAATTGTGGTATATTCACACAATGGAACATAAGGCAGTTCTAAGGAATAATGATTTTGTAAAATATATAACATGAGATATATAAAAAGCATTATGCAGAGTGAACTAACTCAGTCTCAAAGACAAATGATACAGACTAATATCGTAAATATAGATTTACATTTCTTAACAAAAGTTAAACTTTCAAGCTCAAAGTAGAGAGCTAACAGATGACTATTCGAATAAAGGGGTTTTTAAGAACTGAAGAGGAAGATATTGTTAATGAGAACTCAGATATGATTAATAATGTTTAAATTATGCAATGCCAAACAAAAATTAAACCAATCCCATTTTAATAAAAGAGACCTATGGATTTTGAGAGTTTCATGAATCTACACAATATTCATACATGATCTAAAAGCAACTTAAGCAACAGGAGACAAGACATACCTTGCATAGCCTAGGTTTGCTGGGGCAAATTTGATGATTGTTTCGAAGAAATCATACTCCAAGTAAATATTAGGATCAATGTCTAAATCAAACTCCAAATTACAGCCTCCAGGGACAGGATCTGGACAAAAAAAAATAACAAGTTACTAAACATAATTTTTGTGTGTCCAAATAACACAGAAAAAGAGAACTTTAACCTGATAAGAAATTCTCCAGTAAACTTAAATATTCTTCAGAGTTTGCAGCTTTGTACTATCTCATGAACTGAGGTTAAAGAAAAGTAAGAGTAATTGAAACTAAGAATGCAAGAGCAGGAGTCAGCAAACTTTTTCTGTAAAGAGTCAGATAGGAAATATTTTTTTTTAAATTTTATCTTAGTAATTTTAATGAACATTTACAGAGATTTGGGATTTCCATTCATTCATTGTTGCACCTTTCTCCCTGCCCACCTCCCTCCCCAGGTTAGCTCCTCTCTTTGAAAAGTAAAAGAAAAATTCTTTCATTGGCATACAATCCCTCCGTGCCCCACCCCCAACCTCGAGTACACTCCACTATGCAACCTTAATTCTGGGCTCTTAGGATAACCATAATGCCTTCTCATATATTGCTTTTAAATTGTTCTCTACCTCATCTGTTTCAATGCAGTATACATAATTTATCCAGTTTTTCTCAGTCTTACCCCAACCCTGATGTCAGTCCCATTCTACAGCAGTGACACCATGCAGTATTTGTCCTTCTGCGACTGAGCTATTTCACTCAGCATAACATCCTCCAGGGTCACCCATTTTGAATAATATTTTAAGCTTCGGGTACCTGGCAGTTCCATCTCAATTACTTATCTGTTCTTGTGCACAGCCATAGACAGTATGTAAAAGAACAGGTAAAACTGTGCTCCCAAAAAACTTCATGTGCAAATACATGCCATCTGGATTTGGCTCATCCTGTTATTTAGAGTGAAAATATAAAAAGAATCGAATTCCTAAGCTGGAGTGCAAGAATGGGTTTCAAGGCCTTCACAAACAGCCTTTAAGTATACATCGAAGACCTAAATAATTCCTAGTGTGAGAAGTTTTCATAAGATCATTCTGTGTCTGTGACTTCAAAAAGCTTAAGAATATAGATATCATCTGTAGTGTTAAGGGTTTATTGTTCAAAATGGCTTTCTTAGCCATAGAATTTTACTTTGCCACGTGATGGGCAGGAATATCTGAATAGGGTGTGTTAGCCTATCCTCTAGGGAAGTCGTGCCACTAAACTAAGCAGATTTGGTGGCAAAATCAAGAGTCTCACCACCAGGAAAGCAGCGGGTATGCTGATTGCACCTGTCAGGACCAGAGATTCTCACGCCAGTTATACTTACAAGAACAGCAACAGCCAAAGCAGAGGATTAGAGACTCAACAAGAGATGCTGCTGACCTTGGGACTGTTACCCTCCACGGAACCAGAGTTAAAAGCCTTTCCCCAAGTTTTCAGGAAGACTTCAGAGTGGTAAACCAATATTAGCAGGACTGACAGCCTAGTAACACTGGCCTACAGCTGTGAGGCTCAAGACTGAGGTGTCTATGAGCTCATTTTTTAAGCGGTCCTGACTTTGTATTTTGCTACTAAACTGAATTCTAGCCTTTGGCTTCACCAATACAGTTCTGTGTGGTTTGTGAGCTATTTCATTGGATTCTGGAGCCAGTAAAGCAGTAACATTGGTGCTGGTATGAGTGTGAGTGAATGCAGGAGGTGTGGGAGTGTGGGGGAAGTGTCTGATCGCATGGGAATTGGTTTCATGTTGTTGACGGGAATAGTTCCTCTTTGTGGAGCTGGTAAAGGTTATATATGATTTCCCCCCACGAGGCCTTTTTTGCTTTTTTTACATCAACTCAACTCATTGATCTGGAGTCAGAACCAACTCATAGGTGATGCTCCAGTGGCTTTTCAGGAGATGTAAACTGCATGGGAGGAAATCCTCCATCTTTCTCCCTCCTAGCACCACTGGTGAATTCGAACCACCAAAGAGGCCTGGCCTGTGAGTCAGCAGCACAATTCCCTACGGACTATGCCACCAGAGCTCCCTTCTTCTGGTATCTGGTAGGCACTAGGAAATCATCTGCTATTATTTTAATTTTTCCCTCTTAGATATCTAACTATACATACCCTTAGGTAAACATCTATTTAATAACAGCTCCATACCTAACTTCATTCTTCCACTCCAGGTCCCAGTTTTAAACTACCTGTTAGGAATTTCCACCTGGAAATCCTATAGGAATCTCAGATTCATTGTGTTCTAAAACAAAAGTGCTATTTTCTCATTCATTCCATCCCCAAAACATTCACCATAACAATCTTATTCTGCATTACACACAGGAAGTCTGCTACCCTGTAACCATTGATAAATTATTGTGTCTTATCAATTCTACCCTCCAAATATGTCAAGTACAGCCATTCTTCTGTATCTCCCCTCTTGTGGAAGACCTTGCAACAAATTTGGTACTTGTAATAAACCAAAACCAAACCCAGTGCCAAGAAGACACTTCCAACTCACACTTTTGTGGTTTTTTGCTAAAATTCATCAGCATGTCTCCAAGTATCCAGCTTTTGGGAAAGTGACAGGGGTCAAACACAACAGCTCACCCTTTTCTGAGTAGGAGAGTGGAACAGCTATACTCTGGACAGGCTCAGCAGCTGCAGTCTCCAAGTGCCATGTGCACATACTCTGCTCTGGTCTAAGAATGAAAACCAGTCCTCTGTCAGTGCCTGTTCCCGAGGTGCTAGGAAGAAGAGTCTGCAATTGGAAGAGAGGGGTGGAAGTCACCATGAATTAGCTGAGCAAAATATTTAAATTCTAAAGCTGCCTTAATATGCATGTTTTCTTCTGGATCTTATCAAACAAAAATAGTATTATTAATAACCTGTGTTATGGAGAGGACACACCTTGGTTGCTGAAAGTGAGGAGGATTTGTTGTAGAAGATTAAAGAATGCAGCTTTCAATATGGACTGCATCTCAATGTCAAAAAATCATAGATTCTTACCACTGGACTGATAGGCAACATTGTGGTAGATGGAGAAAAGATTTCGATTTTCAACAACTTCATCTTACTTGGATCCACAATTAATACCCATAGTACTACTGGAATGTCTGCAGCTGGGGACCACTTCAAATTATTGAGGAGTAATGATGTCAATGTGAGGACTAGAGGACTAAGGTGCATCTGATTCAGGCCATGGTTTTTCTGGTCACTTGCTATTTATCTGAGAGTTGGACAATGAATAGGGATGACAGAAGAATTGATGCTTTTGAGTTGTTGTGCTGGAGAACACTATTGATTTGTCTTTTTTTAAAAAAAAATTATTCAAAACAACTATGAGATATCATCTCACCCCAGTCAGAATAGCAAAATGTAACAGCAACAACAGCAAGCAACAAATGCAAGGTTGTGGAGAAACTGGAACCCTTATTCACTGTAGGTGGGAGTATAAAATGGTGCAACCACCGTGGAAGGCAGTGTGGCGCTTTCTCAAAAAGTTGCAAATAGAGATACCAGCGTTTCCACTACTGGGAATCTACCCCAAAGAGAACATAACTGCCACCCAAGCAGATATATGCACACCATGTTTATCATGGCTTTGTTCACAATAGCAAGGAGTTAGAAAGAACCTAAGTGCCCATCAACAAACAAATGGAAAGAGAAGCTGTGGTATATTCACACAATGGAATGCTACACTGCATTGAAAATTAAGGAACTAATGCAATATTATTCAAAATAGGTGACCGTAGAGGACATTTTGCTGAGCGAAGTATCTCAGTCACAAAAGGATAAATACTGCACGGTGCCACTGTTGCAAAACAGGACTGACATCAGGGTTGGGGGGGAGACTGATAAAGATGAGTTCAATAATGTATACTGCACTGAAACAGATGAGGGAGAAAACTATTTAAAAGGGATATGTGATTAATCATTTTTGTCATGACGGGAGTCCAAAGTGAAGGCTGCATAGTGGAGAGGACCTGGGGAGAGGGATTGTAAAACAATGAAAGAATTTTTCTTTTACTTTTTCAAGAGGGTAGTGTACTGGGGGGAGGGTTGGGAGTGGAGAAAAGTGCAACAATGAATGAATGGGGGGGGAAAGGAGAAAGAAAATTATTGTAAAGAGAAAGTTAAGTCTTCAAACACTTTACTCTTTAAAAAAAATATATTTTATCTTATTATTTTGTGTGTGTATACCATCAAATCAAATCTGACTGGTAGAGGAGGAGATTGTCCCTCCTTCTCCAGCAGAGCATCTGGTGGATTCGAACCACATGCCTTTGGGATTGCAGTGCAGCTTTTTGCCAGTAGACCCCCAGAGCTCCCCTATAAGTATGTCTTGGAGAGGGTGCAGCCAGAGTACTCTTTGGAGGCAAAAAGGATGAGGCTTCACCTCACACACTTAGGCATGTTGCTAAAAGGGGCTATTCCTTGGAAAGGGACATGATGCTTGGAAGGGTGGAGTGTTGGCAAAGACAACCCTCAACCAGGCAGACTGACATGGCAACTGCCGTAATGGGCGCTAGTGTGTCAGGAAATGTGAAGATGGCACAGGACAGGCCAGGGTTCAGATCCGGTGTTTGTAGGGTCTGTAAGCTGTACTCGACTCGACACCACCTAACAACAACTTAAATATTAATAGATAAACTACAGGATTAACAACATCAGAGTACCAATCCAAAGTGGTCTAGTTCATAATAAACAATCTAAGAGTTCCAGTCAAGATTTTCTCTACAATACAAATACAGAATCTAAACAAACACCAAGAAAGGACTTCTCTTATAATTAACTAAGACCTTTCCAAAACAGAAATCCAAGCTTAAGATGGTACTTATTTCATTCATGCTTCTTTCATTACTTAATAATTAAAAGAAATATCCTTTTGTCTGAGCTCCATTTCCTTAGATGTATGGTAAAAATTTCAACTATCTCCAGGGTTGTTTTGAAAACTAAATAAATCATGTAATAAATCAAACACAGAGATTCCTAACCAGGAATCAAATTGCCCTAAGTTTCAAGAGCTCCCTATGAATGTATGTATGTATGTATGTGTGCATAAACACACATATTTTTTCTGTTCTGGCTTCAAAGAACTTGGGTAAAAATCAATGTATGGCATGGCTAATGAGGCTTTAGAAAAGTATAACAACAAAGGAAAATAGTTTGGTTCTTTTAAAAAATGGAAATAAAAATAACATTTGATCCAGCACTGGATCCACTTCTTGTAGCTGTAAAGTGCCACAGAGCCAAGTACAACTCATGGTGACTCTAGGAATATGAGACCTGAACCCTGTCCTATCTTGAGCCATCCTTGTCAGCTCTGATATACTTGATCCCAGAGGTGCAGCCACTGTGTCAGTCCCTCCAATGGAGGAATTTTCTTTCACTGACCCTCCCCCCTTCTCCAAGCATGAGGGCCCTTTCCAAGGAACAGCCTCTCCTAACATGTTCAAGTTATGTGAGACAAAGCTTCACCATCTTTACTCCCAAGAGGCAGTATGGCTTCACGTTTTCCAAGACACATCTGCTTATTCTTTTGGCAGTCTATGGTTTGTACATTACTCTTCTTCAATACCATAACTCAAAGGCATCAATTTTTCTTCTGTTATCCTCATTCACTGTCCAGGCCTCAGATGTATAGCAGGTGATTGAAAAAAATAGTGGTCTGAATCATGTGCACCTTAGTCTTCAAGCTGACATCATTGCTCTTACATACATTGGAGAGGTCCCTGAGAGCAGAACAGCCCAAAGCAATACAAGGGTATTGATTTTTTTGATCCAAGCAAGATAAAATCATTGGCAACTTCCATCCCTTCTTCATCTACCATGATGTTGTCTGTTGTCCTTGTTATGAGGATGTTTATTTTCTTGATATTGAGGTGTAATCCATTCCAAAGGTAGTAGTTCCTGATCTTCTGCATCAAGTGTTTCAAGTCTTCATCACATTTAGCAAGCAAAGTTGTGTCACTGCATAACACAAGTTATTGAGGAGTCTTCCTCTGATCTTGTCACATTCCTCTTCACAGAGTCCAGCTTCACAATTTGCTCAGTAAACAGACTGAATAGGTATGGAAAAAGGATATATCTCTGATGCACACTCTTCCTGATTTTAAACCCTGAAGTGTTTCCTTGCTCTGTACAGATAAGCTTCTTGAGCTAGGTGCAGAATTTGTATGATCACAAGTAATCATTCCAGAATTCCCATTCTTCTCAACATTAGCTGTAATTTGTTATGCTCTATAGAGTCAAATGCCTCTGCATAGTCAATAAAACACAAACAAATTCTTCTGATATTTTCTGCTTTCAGCCAGGATTCATTTGACATTTGCAATGATATCCCTAGTGCCATGGCCTCTCCTAAACTCTGCTTAAACTTCTGGAAGTTCCCTGTTAATGTACTATTCTAGTCATTTTTGGATGCTCTTTAGCAATATTTTGCTTTCATGTGGTATTAATGATATTGTTATGTAATTTCCAAATTCTGTTTGGTCATCTTTCTTGGGGATGGGAACAAATATGGATCTTTTCCAGGCAGCTGTCCTTCAAATTTCCTGACACAAACTGATGAGCACATCCAGGGCTGCATCTGTCTGTTGAAACATGTCAATTGTTACCTCGTTGAGTCCTAGGGCCTTACCTTTTGCCAATGCCTTCAGTGAAGCTTGAATTTCATCCTCCATCACTACTGGCTGGTATTCTTTTAGTACTTCCTGAAACTTTTTAGTGTCAACCATACTTTTTTTTTTTTTGTACACCGAAAATTAGTCTAGTTATAAAGATTTTAGTAAAATTTAAGCCAATAGCTGAATGACAAATACTCATTAAAATATATTCTCAGGTAAAAATCAAGAATCCACTAAAGAATTGAGAGACTGGCAAATCATGGGGAAAGCTAAACTTCAGCAAGGCGATATTCGGCACAGGGCACCCTCCCTACAAGCGCAGCACTACCATCCCTCTTCATGTCAGAGGCTGCCATGCTCATGCGAGGCCTGAGATACTCAGCTCTTAACCATTCTCAACTGCTAACTTGATAAAGTCCAATCTTCATTTGGCTTAAGGTAAAATAATGTTAAAAACATTGACCTGAAATTTGAATATGCTAAATACGAGACTCTAGTATATAGGAATTGTTCTTTTTTTTTAGGAATTGTTCTTACTGAAATAATTATTTCTACTTACCTTAGAAAAAGACAATGTTGTATTCTGATACTGTGAGTGTATTTGGAAAATAAGAAATGTTGCATTGCTGGATATATAACGCAAAATAGCTTCCTCTGGAGAGGGCTTGGTGAGCTTGAAGTATCTGTATTTCCCCAGAGAAAATTCAAGAAGACCTACAGTGGAGAGGAAAAAAAAGTTTCATTATAGCATCTGTACCTTGAATATCAATTTATAGAAATGATAAATACACACAAGATGCTAATTTATTTAGATCCTGGAAAAACCAACTGAAGCAAATATTATTATCACTGACGCTATTTTACAGGTGACCATGAAGCATCCTACTCAGAGTCAGTCAGCTAGTGAGTGGACAGCTGAGAACAAAAAAGGGGTGAAAGGTATTTCAAAACATATGAACATTTAAAGTAGTAAGGAGTCACAAGGTGCTCAGGGTAGCTCTGGAGGCCTCGTCCATCAGGAGGAGCAATGCTAATCCAGAAGCTGCACCTCGTTGGTGGTCTGATTCCACCAGTCACACCACAGCAGGAAGATGGGCAATCTCCTCCTGTGCATTTACAGCCTCAGAAACTCAATGGAGGGTCAGCAATGAGTCAGTTCCAATTTCAATGGCAATGGGCTTGAGTTTTTTAGTTATCTAGTTGTTGTTATGTGCTGTCATCTATGATTTATAGCAACCCTATGGACAATAGTTCTGAAGCCTGTCCTCCTGAGCCAGTCTGACTCTGACACACCTACCATCATTACCCCACCTACTGTATCAATCCATCTTATCCAGGGTCTCCCTCTCCTGTGCTGTTCCCACTACCCTTCCAAGCATGTCATCCTTCTCCAAGAATCGGTCCCTCCTAGCCAAATACCCAAAGTACGTGAGACATAGCTTTAAAATCCTAGCATCCAAGGAGAGACCTGAAACTCCCAGACAGACCCATTTGTTTTCTTGACAGTCCATGGTATGTTCTAGACTCTTTTCCAGCACCACAACTCAAAGGCATCGATTCTTCTTCTGTCAGCCTTAATAATGTCCAGCTCACTGATGCATAGAAAGTAACTGTCAAGATCATTACCTGAATCGGGTGCACCTTAGTCTTTAGATTGACATCGTTGCTTCTTAGTACTCTGGAAAGGTCCCTGACAGCAGATTTACCCAATACAATTTGTCTTTTGCTTTCCTGACTGCTGGCGCCAAGAGTGTTGATGGTGGAGCTGAGCAAGCAGAAACTGTTAACAACTTCTATATCCTCTCCACCCATCATGATGCTTCCAACTGGCCCAGGGCTGAGAATCTTTGTGTTCTTGATGTTGAGATTCAATCCATATTGAAGACTACAACCTTCTGAAGCAAGCAAGCCCTTGAGGTTCTCTTCAGTTTCAGCAAGTTGTGTCATCTGAATTATGTTTCACAACTGTATTTCATTAATTATCTAGTAGCAGAGATAAAAATTCCATTCTGTTAATTTAAGGATGAACAGCTGAGAGGCTATCATTAGGTATGTGCTGATATTTAAGACTATCACTAGCACCCTCCAGTGAAAGCTGAAGTCAGCCAGGTTAGAGATCCAGAACAACTGCTCAAACTAATGACCACCAGTTGGGAATGGACTCCTTGCTGACTTTCTAGCGGGTTTTCAGAGGCTGTAAATTGCACAGGAGGAGAATGCCCATCTTTCTCTCCAGGAGCAGCTGATAGATTTGAATACCCAGAGAGGCATGACCTTTAGATTAGTGCAAGCCTGTCCCTACGAATGATGCCACCAGAGCTCCCAAGAGACAGTTTTCAGGTGCCATGAGTCAACCAGGACTCATAGCGGCCTATGAAGAAACAGACACATATGTGGCTTCAATTAACTCCCACCATTTATCACTGTGTAGCTTTAGGTAAGTGAGTTAACTCCAGTAAGCTTTTATATTTCCATTTGCCAAATGGACATTGTTTTACCTAGCCTGCAGTAGTGTTTCACATACAGTTATCAACATAGGCACTGTGAGAAAAAGGATTTTTTTTTTCATGACAACTTCAAAGCCCATATTAAAGGCAAGTTAAAACAAGAATAATTTTTCCGCACCTCATCCAGGCCTCTCCCATCTCTAGCTTAGTCTCCATGTCCTGGTTGTGTTTTACTCTCTTACTCTGGCCCTGATCTTCTGTGTGCCTTTCTCCACACTTGCCCTTTTATTTCCCAAACCAATTCTCATTTAAACCACTAAATTAGTCTGTCTTCAAGTCTATGAAATCCTAGATTCCTCATCTCACCACTTCCTACCCTAGAGAGAATCAATACATGAAAAGCAGACGTGCTTCCAAGCACCATTATGTAAGTGCTTTCAGGGATTCAAACCTACGAGGGGAGAGAATCCTTAAAATTTAGGATAAAAATAATATATAAATTTAGTATAAAAGGAGCTTATGAGGAAAAGATTATAATTTATCAAAGTCCCATATTGGAACAGAAAAAAACCAAACTCAAATCAACTCACAGATAACTCTATCGGTTTTCTGAGGCTGTAAATCCCACAGACAACTACTCTACCCCCCAGCATCTAGTGGGTTTGAACTGCAGTACATGACTTTAGGTGGGCAGCACAGATCCTCACGCTACTAGACCACCAGAGCATTTTGATTCATTCTTGCCCAAACTGTGAAGTGATTATATTACCTTCATCAATTCTGTGATGTTTTTAAAAGTTGACTGGGGTGGGGATATGGATTTTTGGTTAGTTTAATTTCTAATAACACAAATATCTAAAATCTTAGTTGTTTCAGGATTTTCAGATGAAGAAAGTGTCTTTCTATTTAACCAGAAAAGCATGTTATACTTTATAGGGAATAAAACTCCAATCATAAGAGAGGGAAAAACATTGGGGTTTGGTTCCAGAATATAGCTAGGGAAGTCAGAAAAATGCAGAGATTTTGGTCTTTATTATGTTTTTTAAGAGAAACAAGAAAAACACTTCCTGTGATTTTTTTTTTTTACTCCTTACCATCATCCTGATTATTTTATTAGAAAACCAAATTATAATCTAAATAAAAAGTCATAGGACAGAAAGACCCCAGATGAGATGCACTGACACAGTGACTGCGGCAATGGGGACAAGTGTGTCAGAGACAATGAGAATGGCTCAGGACAGGGTAGGATTCAGGCTTATTGTATACAGGGTCACTATGAGTCATAATCAACTATACCAACATAATCAAATGAAAAGTCAGAAAAGAGCACTAAAATCATCTCATACATTGCACTTTAATCTTGGTCTCATCCACTGTCCATTTGTAAGTCTTCAAGATACACACCAATTAGAGGCTGTCCAAGTAAAAGCAACCTATTGTTCTGCTATTGGTGTTTGTTTCCCTGGAAATTTATTACATTTCCAACCTTTGTTTAAGGTACTCAACTCATTACTTTCCTGCTTTTATTCACACCTTCAAGTTTTCTCAGCTTGAGAAATAATTATTGAACATTTACCAATTAGTCACTCTGGGTTTTGAGTATTGTAATGAAACTGGTACAAGGCAACTCATAAAAGATAGCAAAGACTTTTGTAATTTCCTATGTAGATTTGTTCTTCAACATGTCTTAAAATGCTTTGACAGCCCTTATGTTTAGCTCCCATCATACAGGCCTTTGAACCAAAATACTACACAAAGCCTAAGGGCTCTGGGCAAACTGATGCAGCCATCAACTACAGACATCTTGATAGTCATGTGTTTGTCTTTCCCTTACCGCCAGAGGCAAGAGTGAGTCATGTCTCAAAAATACATGGAGAATCAAAACTTTTAGTGTTTTAGAAAAATAGATAGGAGATATAGAACCACGCATATTAAAACAACTTATTAAGCAACTTCTCAAATGACAGGAATGGCATCCACTTCTGAAACAGCTTGCCTCTGGAAACTTTATGAACTTAGAGAAACTACGAAAGTTATACAAGTGTTTAAGTCTTTCATTCATAGGGTTGCTATGAGTCATCTACGACTCAAAGGCACTAAACAACAACAACAAAAAGAAAGTATTTCTGGAAATGTACTTGATTTTCTTCACATTTCCTGTTTTTTTCATATTTTCTACAGTGATTGTGAGATATTCTTATCAGAAGAACTTAATTTGAAGACCTTTATTCTTGATGGCATTCAAAACATGGGTTTCACCTCAAATTTACATCTGAACTGTACAGGGACATATTGTACACAAAATGGAGGACAGCCCCTTAATCTGCTCTTGTTTTGTTTTCCTCATAAAATGGTATTATTTTCCAGGTAATATATAAGAAATAAAATTATTCTGTTTTAAGAAAGAATATTCTAGAAAGCATATATGCCAGGCAAGAAATGTATTTAAAGAGATTTTTGTCGTGGTGACCTTGCATCTCAAATGATTAAACTGAACCTAACAAGTCTTGTTCTATTCTACCTCAGAAAATTGTAACTGTAAAAGTGACAACACATAAAACCAACAAAACTTTAAGTATTGGTCTTAGTTTCAAGAACTTACCTGAGAGAGACGGATAAAAGAGGAGGAGGGGAACAATTCCTAGCGTTAAGTAACAGCTAAAAAACTTTTACCTATCAGTTTCTGGATCTTCTGAAATTTACTTTCAGAAGGAAAATAATACCTCATCATCATCTCTCTTTCCTCAATCAAATAAATACCTGTAGTAAGAACCAAATAGAAGTCACATAATAAAGAGAAGAGGCACTGGCAGTGTTCTTTTTAAAAAAAAAACTGGTCATTTGTCAATATAGTAGGGGCTATAAAAGCAGGTATCTCCAGGAGTATTTTTAATTTTTCTTTTCCTTATGCTTCCAATTTTTTCTTAGTGCTCACAAGAGAGTCTTTATAAAAATGGTAAGACACTGGTTATCCAACTGACTGTACATTACAAAGATCTGAAGGGACTCGTGATGACTAGTTTTCAACTGGAATCGGCTAGGGAGGTAGAGTAGAAGTCATTTAAAATACATTTAAATGATTTAAAACACAAGCAAATATTTCTTAAAATAGCATACAAAAAGTATATTCAAGATTACAAGGATTTCCAGCAACAATAACTAAGTTCAACAGGGCAACAAACAAATGCAGGCAAGGATATGGAAATATTGGAACTCTTACTCACTGCTGATGGGAATGTAAAATGGTACAACCACTATGGAAGGTCATCCAGTGCTTTCTCAAAAACTTGGAATAGAAATACCATTTGACTGAGATATCCCACTACTGGGAACATACCCGAAAGAAACCAGAGCCATGATGCAAAAGAGGAATGCACACACATATTTATTGCAGCCTTTTTCACAATAGTAAAGAGACAGAGACAGCCCAACTGCAGTACATTCACACAATGGAATATTATGCAGCACTGAAAAGCAATGAACTTGTAAAACACTACACAACATGAGTGAGTCTGAAAGACATTATGCTGAGTGAAATATCTCAGTCAAAAAAGGACAAATATTACTTAAGATCACTGTTATAAATTAGGATTGATGGCGGGTGGAAGAGAACAAGAAAAGAGTGGACAGAAAATGAACACTGCACTGGAACAGATGAAGGAAAAGACTTTCTGAAAGGGATGTATGATTGTCATATGTATGTCAACAATATGGAACAAGAAGTGCATTGCAATGTAAATTTGGGGAGGGAGGAAAGTGTGCATCAACTTCTCTGTAAACTTTTGTTAAAAAACAATAAAAAAATTAAGTACTGGGGGGGAAAAAAAACCTACAAGCTTGTTTCCAAGTTTTTTTAAAAAAAAAAAAAGATTACCAGGGATTGAGAAAGGAAGAGAATGCGAGTTATGACTTACTGGGCAGAGTATGTTTTTAGATGGATAAAAAGTTTAAAAAGTTAATAGTGGTAAAGGGTGTACAACCCATGAATATCAGTAAAATATACTCTTTAAAATGGTTAAAATGGCAAGTTTTATGTTATTTGTAGTTTACCCAAAAAAAAGTATGCAGAGCATTCCATAAAATCTATACACTTATGAAACTATAAAGTAGGTCAATAAAGAGCATTCTAGTATTTCACACTTCCTCTTCTTAACGTATTCCGGGGAATAACCATGATTCCAAATTCTATTACCATAAATGGACTATGCTTGCTTTTGGAATTTGACTAAAGGAAATAAGCTGTCTTATGTTTATGTCCTCAGAGCCTTACTTCTCACATGGCTAGTGAGAGAGAACTCAGCCTACTTTACTTGGTTACTTTAAAGATCAAACAAATGGGGAAAACATTTTCCTAACAACCCAATTCTACACAATTTTTGAAAATTCATTTTTTTAAAAAGAAATCTGTTTTATTTGGGTCAAACTATACAAATACTACTGACTTTTTTCAGGTAGGCATTCATAGGCATTAATTACCACTGATTGATGCAATTAACTTATTACAATGTATAAGCAAATCCTTACTGTTTATTGTGATTTCTTTCAACCAACTTCTATGTTTCTTAATAAAAATAATATGACCTTCTATTAGCCTTCTAGTGTTAAGAATTAGGGGAGAGGGAAGAGCCATGTATTTACTACATCCACTATTGTTGGTAGGAGTCATTGAGTCAATTTTCAATTTCTATTTTTCTCATGTGTTACAGAGAAGAACTGTCCCAAAGGTTTTCCAGGATATGAGCTTTAGGGGAACAGATCTTTCTCCCATAGATTGGTTGGGTGTGTTTAAAACCACTAACCTTACTGCTGGCAGCCTCGTGCTTAATTATTCTACCAGTGGGGCTTCCTAAATCTCTATGAAAAACAATGGGAAAAGAGACAGTCATAGAAATTCCCAGTACATGGTAAGTCTGAGGCAGAGCCTTCCAAGGAAGTTATACTGAAAGTTGTAGTGAAAACAATGTTAACAACAGATCTGATAGAAAACAACATAAAAATACTGCCTGGCAGAAACAGTAATTTATACTCACAAAAACAGATTTGGCAATGAAGGCATCAAATAAACCCTAAATATCCAAAACATATCGTGAAGACCTTAATAAGAATGAAACCTCACTTCTAAGTCATCTGGGAAAGTATTCATTAGAAACATTTTATGAGGCATAGTTCGATCTTGTGACTTGGAGTGTAGGAGGAAAAAAAAAACGACAGCACATCAAAGTTATTACAAGGCAAATGGCAAACACCAAGATCAAGCATTTCCACGCTTTGTAGTTTTAACAGCAGTGGCTCATCCTTTTCTGAAAAAAATATTTTTGCATGACATTCATTTTTCATATATTTCATTTCCAATAATTATTCTAAAAAGAACCAGATCCTAATCTTTCATCAGTCTCCATAAGATCTTACCTGTGCAACTTTGATAACATCCTTCTCATTCTTTATTTTCTCATTGCTGTCTAATCAGAACCAACTCACAGCTTGGACTTCCAAGACTGTACATCACCAGGGAGGAGATTCTTCCTCCTGAGGAGATGCTGGTGGATTTGAATCGTCAGAAGATGCAGCCTTTAGACATAGCCTTTGGGTTAGCAATGCAACTCCCCACAGACCACACCACCAGCGCGCCTGTCTTTTTCCATAATTTACCTCCATTATTTAAGCTGTAGAGTGACAATAGCATTTTGAAAAGCTCTATCCTAACTTGGTCTTCATATCTTCCTCAGATAGACTATTAAAAATAAAAAAGATCATTCAACAGCCCCTTCAAATTTTCTTTAGCCCTAAAGGCTGAAAAGTGGGAGGGGAATGAACATACTTTTTACACACTTTTCAAAGACAGAAATCAATTGTCATTAACTACACATGTGATCTGGGACCTTAAGCCACACATGCACACTCCCAATGAGTCAAAACCAACTCATAGCTGACCCGCGAGCAGGTCTTCGGGGGTCTAGAAATCGTTAGGGAGAAGACGAGAAATCCTTCTCTCCTGGAGCTGCTGGAGGATTTCAACCACTTGAGAGGCCCAGGCCGTGGCCACTGACAACACCACTAGAGCTTCCTAACACAAACATCAGAGTGCCAACTGGCCCTGCTCCAATTACTGTGTAATTCCATGGGAGTAACTGGATATGAATCTAAAATAATAAAGACAAGTGATAAGGGAGGAACATGCAGCTTATCACCTGTGACCCGCTGGCCACAGAAAGCACCTTCCTCAGACATTCTAGGAACTTGATCTGCCATCAATGATTCATTTAGCTTTCTATTCAAGCCATTACTCAAATTGTGCCAGTGAGCTCATCTGTTAAAGATGAGTGAATTCTAAATTCTAGCAGTTGCTCAATTCTTCAGTTTGTGTAGTCATCAGTATCCTTACACAGCAATGGCATTTCCTACAAGAATGAAGCAAGTTTATGAAGTCTGTCTTTGTCTCTCTCCTTTTATTTTTCAGAAGTGGAGGGTACTGGCATTTTAAATACACAATGGTTACATTCTCACATACTGTCAGTCCTTCTTCTGCACAGAAGGACACTGTTGTTATTGTTGCTTATCACAGATTCAGATTCAACACACAGCTGATTAATTCTCTAACTGGTTTTCAGAAGCAACAAATCCCAAGGAAGAGGAGTAACTAACTATCTTTCTCCCAAGGAGCAGGTGGTGGGTTCACACTGCATGCTTTTGAATTAGCACAGCAACTCCTTACCACTATTCCACCAGGACTCCCTAAAGTGGTATTATCATATATTGGGGCAGGGAATTTAAAATTCTGCTGAGAAAATACCAGCAATGCAAGCTCAGAAAAGAATTGGGGGGAAGTGCCTTAAAAATGTATGTTCTTAGCAGTGTTATTCACTATCGCAAGAACATGGAAATTATCCAATCACAAACGAAAGGATTGAGAAATTATGGTAGTCACACGATGGAATACTATGGAATACTATGCAGCACTCAGTAACAATGATTTTGCAAATTACTACCTACCTTGGGGAGGGGGACAATGACTAGAGAGCATTATGCTAAGTGAACTAACTCGGTCCCATAAAGACAAATATGGTATAAGACTAGAATGTGTATAAAGATCCAAAGGGGGGAGGGTGGGAGCAGAGGGGTGAGGATGGGGGAGAGTGTTAGCTAGAGAGTCGCACAATTTGATGAGTGGAGGGAGGAGTGGGTAAAGGAAATGAGAAAGATCCAGTGTTAAAAAGCAATGTGTACAAACTTTGTAAGTAAACCAGTATAAAAAATTTTATTTCAATTTAAAAAAAAATGTATGTTCTTGAATTAAGACTCAGATTTCTCAATTACGGGTAAAATTTTTACATATTATTGAATAATTAAGCTGCAAACTAAGGGGGTAAAAAAAGAGATCTGGATCCGAGTGCTCCTAGCTCATAATAGTTTGTATCAACCACAAATTCATTATTTTTCCTACCTCCCTCACAATGCTACTCAGAGGAATGAGAATTCACAAAGTTTTAAGTATAAAGCACCATTATGCAAGATACTGTTAATGGAGGGCAGCTTTGTTTTGCACACAGGCCAAGAAATTTACAGAGACACACCTGGCATCCAATTCCTGCCCAAGCTCCTATTGGTTGTTCCCTTGGGTAATGAACATTTCCAGCTTCAGTCCCAGCCAGGTGAGGCTGACAATTAATTACCTCAGAGGTAAGGATTAAATAACACTGCCTGTGAAAACCACCTGGTACTTACTGCAGGCAGTGCATGTTAGTTCCTTATTATAAACAAGGCTCTTTTTTTTCCCCCCTGGAAAAAATTTTAACTTCTCCTTTCAGTCGTTAACTATGGAAAACCTCTAGGGTTCAATTTGCACAAGATAAGCATTTAGGAACGCAACTTAAGTATTCTGAAAATACTATTTAGGAACTCTAAGAATGTCTTTAATTTCAAGGAAAAGCCCATGATTATTAGTCATGCACAGTTAATACTTTTACACTTTATATTAACAAGCCACTATCTGTTGCTGAAACTCAAGCACATGACCTACGATCGAAAGTCCCATGCTGTGTTGACACTCCTCTCAAATACTGTACTTTAAAACACACACACACACACACACACACACACACACACACACACACACCTGTACTTTTTCAACGTGAAGAGCATCATGATCTTGGAATAAAGATCCCGGGAGTTGCCTGGAGAGCCACTAATTACAAACCCTTGGATTCTGCACCAAGGACCTTGGATTCACTGACTAGAGGCTCAGACATAAATAATACTTCGAAGGAAAGGGGATTTTTACTGTTGTTAAAGTCTCTCTAAAAGGGACATAACAGCACGTCTGGGGGAAAAAAAGAGAGCTCTTTTTCTCTTCCCATTTCACCAACCTAACTTAGAAGGCTGACAATAAGGACCCATTAGTGATGGGAGTGTTCCTTCTGTAGGAAAAGACCCTAGCCCATTTGTGCTGAATTTACCCAGTGGCGTCAAACAAAGCCTGACGGCACCATCTCTCTTCTGACCCGAGTGGACTCAGACCTTGTAAGACCCTTGGAAATGCAAAAGTAACTTTGGGATGCAGAAGCGCAGCGCCCCCAACCTTACCCTCGCTGGAGTTGCCGACGGTCTCGGTTTGTGCAGCCACATCCCAATCCATGGCAAGCACCGCAGCAAGGAGTAGCAGCAACTGGAGCTCCATGGCTAACTCAGCCTGGGTAGTCAAAGCACCGGCTCCCAGAGGTGCGCCGAAGAGGCGCGCGGCCCCGCAGCCTCGTGCACGCTACCCTGGGGCGCTCGCGCCAGGTGGCATAGCCCACCTGGTGCAAACGCCGCACACCTGCCAGTCCCCCGGCGGCCTGCGCGCGTGCCCGGCTGAGACGTCCCCACGCCAGCCAGAGGCTTCCTCTTCCGGCAGTTAACCCCTAGCGGCTCCCCCACGTCCTCCGACACCCTTTTTACGTAACCGCGGCGGATCCCCGCGAGGAGGCGTGCTAGGGGCGTTCCTGAGCCGCGCACCTCCTGCAGGCCGGGCGATCTCGGTTCGGGACCATGCGCCGGCCGGAGAAGACCCCGGAAGTCAAGTGTGGTTACCCGCACTTCTCATTCTTGTACCTTTTCCACTTACGAAATCACCGTTAGAATAGAAAAAAAAAAAAAATTCTGTTGCGGCCTAACGTCTCCAGGCTCCTCTTCCCGGGTTTAACGGTCATTTTTGGGGGCCTGGGGGGAAATCAACAAAACCAGAAATGTCGTAGTCTTTGACCCTGTGTCGTCAAGACTGGCGTACTCCCCATAGCCGTGAGTGTGAGAACTGAGTCAGAGCTGACTCTTCAGCGGGTTTTCAGAGATGGGAAGAGATTTCCTTTCTCCCAAAAAGAGCTGGTGCACCTGAACAAAGTAAACTGCCTTTTGGTTAGCCGTACCTCTGCGGATTTGGGTAGAAAAGGACCACAAGGCTGCGCTAAGTGATGGGCACTAGATTAAAAACAACAACAAACCAACCCTTACATTTCAGTCATAGAGAAATATCCTCGAAGACTCTCGATCTTAACCTGAACTTCCTCTTTCAAATCTTATACCTGAATGCTGTTCACGTGATGGACTAGCAGGAGCAGTGAGTGTTCGGGTGGACCAGGGTCGACTGTAATTCATTGACAACTCCCGATGGACTTTTGTCTCAAAGCAGCCTAAACAAAATCGTTAATTATGTTTATTATCTATCTGAATTACAAAGTAATATATGCTAAATATAACTAAATTACATTCAATGTAATGCTACTTAGATTACGTAAATCTAGTTTTCAAAAATCTCACCTTGAATTATTAGTCATAACAGAATTTTTTTAACAGCTTTAAATATATTGGTTTTTCTGGTTTTCTTTTTATTAGTTTTAATCTACAGAATTCTAATACAAATTCGAACATATTCTTTCCCTCACCCTCCCACCCATCAAATTGTACCAGTTCTTAAATTGGTACCCAATGATTAAACCCCTCTTCCCCCTGTACATCCACATCACTCTGCTTCCAGCCTCTCCCACCCCTCCTGGATCCTTATATTCATTCTACAATAATGGTTTTATACAATATTAATCCTTGTGGGACTGAGTTCACTCAGCATAATGGTCTCCAGTCCCTCCCAAATTAGGTAATAATTTACAAATTTATTGTCCCTGTTAATAAGCAGAAATTTTTAAAATTTTTCTCCTAATTACTACTTCAGTCTCCAAAAAAGTTACATAGGAATATTCTCAAATACTAATCACCACAATATAACTCAAATACCAGGAAATGTGACAAAAATCAACAGCTATATAAGCAGCAGCAATGACAATAACAGCTTTATAGCTCATGCAGATAAAACCAAGTAATCAAAAGCATTTTTGTAATTGTGTGAGACTGGAAAAAAAAGTATATGCCAAACTGCTTTACTCATAAGGTCACTTTTTCTGAAATAACTGGAAGAGGAGGTCTCTTCGGCTTTCATACAGACGCTATTGTTGTTAGATGACACTGAGTTGACTATGATTCAAAGCAAGTATATGAACAAATCAGTTTTGCCCCATCCTGTGCCAACCTCATGATCTCTGATATGCCCAATCCCATTTTTACATTTACTGTATCATTCCATCTTGTTGAGTGTCTTCCTCTCTTTTACTGACCCTCTTCCTTCCAAACATGATGTCTTTTTCCAAAGGACTGGCCCCTTCTAACAATTTGTCCAAAGTAACTTGAGACAAAATTTCACCATCCCTTCGTCTAAAGAGCACCCTGGGTGCCCCTCTTCCAAAACTATTGGCAGTCCATGGGATATTCAGTACTCTTCGTCAGCACCACAACTCAAAGGCATCAGTTCTTCTTGTCTCCTATCATCCTTATTGTCCAACTTTCAGATGCATATGATGCAACCGAAAAGACCATGGTTTAGATCAAGTGCAGCTTGGTCTTTAGCAATGCTCTTTAGCAATGGTACAGATAGGGCAAACATAAGCTTAAAGGAAAGCAAATGTAAAAACTCATTGTTATCAAGTCTGTTCTGATTCATAGCAACACTATATAGTCCACCTAAGTGAAACTAACTGGCCAGAAGGAGACTTGCAGTAGATAGAATCTCATTTAAGGATCTCCCACAAAGCACAAGAGTGTCTAAAGAAGAATCAGCATTTCTCTTAAGACAAAAGTTCTCATAATGTAACTGCTCCTATTGTATGCTAATTCTCGTAACTCATTGAAGCTGCTTTCCACATGCTAATGTATGTTCAGGGTCTGCTAAGAAGGATAAGAGTTTATGCAACAACCCATTTTATTGGTGCTCTTTTTATTTAGGTCTCACAAACATCTAAAAATTGTGTATGATCTGAGAGCACTACTCAAGTTTGGAGTATTATCTTACAGCTAAGCTATGGTCAAGTATAAATAATGTGTTGTCCTGTAACAAGACAGTTGCTGTATTATACTGTGGGTTATTCTGAAGTAGCTCTGTTACCAGAGACACAAGTTTTCAACAATCAGGCTGCACAACTTCATATTCTCATCTAGTGAGCTCTCTTACCCATCCAGCAATAGTTAACCAGTCACCATCCGATATTAACTTTTCATTCAAAAGTATCTTTCAGCCTTTCCTTCTTTTATCAGATCCTAGTCTAAGCTCAACTCAGCTCACTGTCCAAAACCTCCCTCTAAGCACTTCTCCTCTTCCAACTAAACCAGACTTGGTGCCAATGTCCATTTCAACCCAAGATGAATCCTTAGATTACAGAGTACAACTGTTCCATAGTGTTTGGTTGTAGTTCTTATGGAGAGAGATACCAGGCCTCTCTTCTGTAGTGCTACGGGACTGATTTAAGTCATCAATACAGGACAAACAGTTTGAGAAACTTCTGTGCTTTTCTCTGCGAACCCTGCTCTGCTCCTCACATTCTTTATTCACTGTCACACCAACAAGAAAAGTTTATTAGTTACCTGTCCTCACACATCACTCTTAACTCCTAATGCTTTCTTCTCCCATCTCCCCATTCTTAAAAACAGTAAATACAGCCCAGTTTAGTAATTAATTGCCATGTTCATGTTGCCTTCACCTGTGACCAGCCTTCTCATCACAACCTATGCACAATTAACTAAGGTGCACCTGACCCAAGCCATAGTATTTACAGTTGCTTCACAGGCATGTGAGAGTTGGACAACGAAAAAGACAAAAGAATCAATCAATGCCTTCAGACTGTGGTGTTGGCAGAGCAATGCATTTATTACAACTTCCAAAAGAATAAATTTGTGTTGAAAGAAGTGCATCCAGAGTGCTCCCAGGAGGCCAGGCTGGTGAGAGTTTGTCTCACATACTTTGACTATGTTACCAGAAAGGGCAAGTCCTGAGAAAAGAATTATCATGGATGGGAAAGGAGAGGGTCAGAAAGAGCAGAAGCTTCTAAAAATATGGATGGACACAGTAACTGTAACAATGATCTAAAGCACAGCAGAAATTGTTAAAGATGATACAAGATAGGGCAGTGTTTCATTCTTTCATACACGGGGTTATTATGACGCAGCAAAGCAAAAGCATCTAAACAGCAATAGCACCTCCAGGACCCAAACACTTGCATATGTTGTTTATTATTAGGTGCCATTGAGTCAGCTACAAGTCATAGCCATCTATAAACAACAGATCTGAACCTTGTCCTATCCTGCGTCACCCTCATGATCTGTCATGGTAGCAGATGTGTCAATCCATCTTATTAAGGGACTTCCTTTCTTTCACTGACCTCTACCCTTCCCAGCGTCTCTCCAGGGACTGATTCCTCCTGAAAACATGCCCTAAATAAGTGAGAAAAGGTTTCAACAGCCTGTCTTTAAGAAGCATTGTGGTTGAACCTCCTTCAAAACAGATTTGTTGGTTCTTTTGGCAGTCCAAGGAATATTCAGTACTCTCAGTGCACATGTTGTTGTTACAGTCATTATGTGTCAACTACGACTCATAGTGACCCTATGCACAGTAGCCCTGAACCCTGCTCTAGCCTGAGGCAATCTGTTTCTGACACACTTACCTTCATCACCCCAGTTACTGTGTCAATCCACTTTATCTAGGATTTTCCTGTCCTGCACTGTCCCTCAACCCTTCCAAGAATAATATCCTTCTCCAAAGACTCATCCCTCCTGGCTACATTATCGAAGTATGTGAGACAGAGCTTCAAAAATCCTTGCCTCCAAGGAGCAGCTTGGTTTCACCCTCTACAGGTTAGATCTTTTAGTTTTCTTGACAGTCCATGGTATATTTACAACTCTTCTCCAGCACAACTCAAAGGCATCACATCTTCTTCTGTCATCCTTGGTCATTGTCCAGCTCTCTGCTGCATAGCAAGTAATTGTGAAGATCAAGGCCTGGATCAGGAGCATCTTAGTGAGTGCTTACTATTAACTAAGTAAAAGGTAACTAACAAACCTCTAATTCTTTTTGTCCTGTTGTTAGGTACAGTAAGGTCAGTTACGACTCACAGCAATCTTACATATGTTGTTGTTGTTGTTATGTGCCGTCGAGTCGCTTGCGACTCATAGCGACCCTATGTACAACAGCCCTAAACCCTGCTCTATCCTGCGCCAACT